CAGCAGCTATATGCTCTACTACAGCTTGCTGCGTGGTGGCGGGTAAACGTTTGCCGTTGACGCGCATCATGGGTTGGTTGCCACGCGGAGTCTCTGCCCCAACAACACCAGAAAACAGTCGCGAGAGTCGCGATAGAGCTTTATGAATAAATTGAGCGTGTATAGAAGGTTAAGAAAACAGCTGCAATCATCAAAATACACTCAGAATTAGCCTATGGGTGATGCGTTGAAGTTCTAAGAATACCCCTCGCCACTGCACGTGATGTACATGGTATTTCGAAAACCGTTATATGTATCATCAAGATCCTTCTCACAAAATCCAAATCTCGACCCGGGCATTGCAATAGAACGTGCTGCTACAGGCCATTGACCTCTCGTGCCATCACTGTGCTTGACCATTGATCTGGTTCCACGGTCGATCAGAGGTTAGGGAGGATTTATTAAGGCCTCATTCGCACCTGCATCGAATGAGCTCAGAGACCCTCCCATATTCTTCGCCGTTTCTTTAAACAGAACTCCGGCCGTGAAATGCGGTTAAAGAGTGGATAACAGTCGGAATTGATGTGTAACGCTGATTCACCTGCGAACAAACGGCGATCGTGTGCGTGTGTCAATTCGCTCTTTAGGCGCGATGCATGCTAAAAAGATTGAGCAAACCCTCATGCGCTGTAACTGTAACACCTCATCTAAGGACGCGCTGGCTATATTCTGGGGCGATGACGTCATGCCAGAATAATCTCCTTCAGCGGATTCTCTCCTTCCCCCGGATCCGCGTGAGTTGTGTCCACTGCTGTACTCGTCGGTCTGTTCTTCCAGCTGAAGTCTTTTTCACTTATTGAAATCCAGAAACTGTGTTCTGCCTACTTTGAGGCATCGTGAAAAACGGCAGTGCTGTCCCAAAACTCACTAGGCTCCTGTCACAGCTAAAAAGCGGCAAGATACAGACTATAATTACTTGCACCCTAATCAGGCTGCTTATATAAGGCTAGTTTTCTGCGACCGCTCATTACTGCAATTTTATCGCTACTTCTAAATAGAATTCCCAAGACTCCAGGTTACTCATGAAATTTTTTTCATGAAAAGCTCCTGGGAAGTAACACATGTTCAAGGCGCGCTGGTGCATGACTCCTGTACGTCGATAAATCAGGGGTCAGGGACTCAACCTCGACAACGTTCACCACGTCGGTGAGCTGTGCCTCCACTTACTTTCACCTGCGAAATGACAACGTAGATCCAAGTTAAGCTCTGCCTCCCTGACCTTTACACGACTCAACCACACACACGCGCACACTCCACGAGTACTCCCGATCGGTCTATTTTTGGATCTCAGCATGCTTACTCACTATCAGATGCTCGAGGTGAGCCGCTCTGCGGATCTTGGAGCGATCAAGAAAGCGTACTATAGGATCTCATTACTATACCACCCTGACAAGACGGTGCATCTGCCTGATGCAGAGCGCACCCAGCGTGAACAACTGTTCAAACTTGCCAACGTAGCCTTCGAGGTACTTTCAGACCCCCAGAAACGCAAAGCCTATGATCAGACAGTCCATACTGGAAAAGATCGACCTACGACACAGGCCCGCAACACGGCCGCGCGCAGCACTACGAGTCGTCCACCACATGGCCCGGCCCCAGACCAACAACCGCCCAACGGTGACCGCAGACCGGCGCAGAATGCTCCGGCCCGCTCGACTACGGCAAACCGTGAAGATGCTCAAAGCTTTCCAGGTTCTCAGGATATTCAGCGCGCGCCTAGTAGTGCACACCGCTTCACTGCAAGCACTCTCGGGAAGGCGCCTGACTTTCACTGGCATTATTGCCAGTTGAATGAGTACAGTAAATACACAACACTCACATACAATAATTGGCTGGGATGGAACTTCTCAATCATGGTTGCAAGCCATTTCAAGGTTGTAGCAAGGCCGGTCATACCACAGAAGCCAGTGTCGGAGTCCATCGTCGTTCGCCTGCCCTTACTGCGAAAAGGAAAACATGCGCCCTGCTCACCTCACAATATAGCCATTGATCTTCGTGGGGTACCTGGAAATAAGCACACGATTCTCTGCTCGGCACTCGTAGAGTCGCAAGCCGCAGGCCTGGAAGTGGTCGTGGAACTTGCCATCGCACCTGAAACAGCACAACCAATCGCCCAAGGACCAGTCTCGTGGAAGTGGGCTTACAGTATCGACCACAGGCCTCTTGCTGTTTCCACGCAAGCTAGAGTTACAAGCACCTTGTTCTATCCCTACAAGCCCTTCATGGCCATTGCCCCGCGTGGAAGTATGCCTGCCCCGCCCTACCCGGAGGGATCGCCTATGCGCGGACTGTTGTCACAATTCCCTGGTATCAAAATTGAGGAACCAGAGTCGGACTCTTACTGCGTAAGGGAGGAGCAGCAGGGTAAGACGGTGTGGCGACTCACTGCAGTGGGTTCTATGTAGCATACACCTTGTGGATTTTACTCGAGTAAACATTCTCTCCTTTGACACTACTGGTTTTGGGTCTTCAGAGAACTATTCTAAATATTGTTCAGTCCAGAGTTCTTGGCATCATCTTCTTATCAAGTAGGATATCTTTGGAAACAGTTCAAAGTCAGCGGATTTGGGAGGTAGTGAAGGAGTAGGATCGACACATACCAATAGTAGTGTGCCATCTAGACAGAGTAAGAGAAGAAGAGTGTCATTACAGGTTTCCTATCGTTTATTATTTTCCCCTAGTTCTTGTACATGCCACACTTCTCTCCCACTGAGTACATAAGAGCCATTTGTATACTCCATTGTGCTATGCAACTAGGCTATTCCTGTTGCGTTGCCTGAAGATCAAAGCACCGAGCCACTGCCTTGGCAATCACTCTCTGCAATGGCACAGTGCCAAATCAAGGCAATTCTCTTCTGCTGGAAACAAGTCCAAGGGCAGTGCACCACGAGTGAAGGTGAATGCACTAGCGCCGCACGCCAAGCGCCGCCTGCAAACAAAAAAAATTCTCCCGCGCTGGACCTGCTTCTCACTAAACGTCAACTCAGTCGATCACCACCACCCAGATTGTTTGTTGGTATGATGATTTCGTGGCGCTGATACTGACACTTTTAGCGAACATCGCCAGCACCATGGCACCCAAAATACATGTAGTCGATCCGGACACGGAGACAGTCATCGTTCTCAAGAATTTGTGCACAAAATTCATAACATGGAGCGAGGCAGTCGCTGGGATCGCCAAAGAAGAGCCCAGGGCCATTACTGGTATCCTGGATAACGGCTTATCCGAACGTCAGCTGAGCCGTGAAGCTTTTCCTGCTAAGGTGACACTCACGAACGAGAAAGATCGTAGTAATTCAATTCATCTCGGGCGACACTGTGCAGAAGCTTCTACCCGAATCGCAGCCGGGGCCTGGCCCGGGGATCCACTACAAGGCAGCCTCCCGCCACCTGTAGCTCGCATCGTCCTGGTTCAAGCGCGCGACAGCAAAAGAAGGATGGGCTGAATCTAAGCTTTTGATGGAAGCTATCGGATCCTTGCCCACGAATGGGACGAGCAAGCTTCCTGATCGTGCTCAACATCTTCCATCCGCGCAACAAAAAGATACCAAGGACAGTCGCGCTCGAAATGCTGGCCAAGGTAGGTGTTGCAGTCGATTACTACGAATGCGGCGAGTCTCAAGAGTTATTCACATACACGTGGATTGAAGCATTCAATAACCAGTCATTCCAGACTTGTATTGTCGCGATCTGATCCGGTGGGTCTGGGCTGTTTGGGGTGCTCAACTTGACTGAGCAGTTCATGGATGCTATTGCGTTGGGTAATGAAGGAGAGCAAAGACATAAGGCGTGCTTTAGATCTCTCCATCCCGACCCCTGTGTTAAGTAAGTTTCCTTTGCCCTTTGCTCAGGCGCTTACCGATGCGAAATTGCTGGTGAGATCAATCTGAGACGTTACCAGGCCAGCGAGTCTGTTATTGGCGGTTTACACGACCTAGTCGACGAGTATCGCAGTTGCAAGGACCACTGTAAGTCGAACGGCGCGCTCTCATTCCAATGCAGCTCAATCTTCGTTGGGGCACTCACGAAAGAGCTTGACGGTTGGTTGCTGATCAATCCATGTCCTGAGATCCTGTTCTCCAACCTCAGCTTGAGCAGCATCTGTACCAAAGCTCATAGCACAAAGTCGGATTCCGTCCGCGAAGGACGCTCTCTGATTGGTCAGCTCGTTCTGGTTAGCTCTCCACACTGTAGATAGTCGCCACTCTCCATAGTACCAATCGACAGTTCACCCACCATACCCATCAGATTCCTGGGCGGCTATCAGCAAAAATAAAGCATGTACCAGAACGATTCAGATCAACGGTGACCTCAGCAGCCCAGAACCTTGTCAATAAAGCAGACGATAGCCCAGTCGGCCTCAGCTTATGTCGTTGGAGAGGACCTGAGAAATCTGCAAGTTGCCATCTTAGATGAGTACTGTCCAGAGCAGTGGAAGAGGAGACAGGCTGAATTCCGTGGCGAAGAAGAATTGCTTCTTCCCTTAATAAACGATTGTCATCATTCTGGACTTTGATGCTTTTAAAGATAACGTACCTCACAGGCGAGCCGCTCACTCGATTTTACTAGGGAAAATCAACAATCTAAGGCTTAATAACTCTAGATCTACTTGATAGAATCTTCTAAAGATTTAATATGTCGCTTCTATACCTATTCTCGTTCAGTCTTCGAAATCTTGGAGCGCTAGGCCTTACATAGCAGATCTTTTCTTGTTTTGTTCGAGACTTTAGTTAAGCGTATTTTTCTAAATCCTTAATAACTTTTTTCTCTTCAGGCCTAGCAACTTCAAACTCTAATATAATATTAAATACATAACGTACTCCACGGGTGAGTCGTTCATACGGGTGAGTCGTTCATACTGCCAAGACCACACCAACATTCTACTTCACAACGCAATGCCTCAACAACAACACAGATCTAAGCCCTTTAAAGAAGCTGCAATACAGCTTGCGCTTCAGGCAGTTAAACAAGGCGCGACGCTCACTCTGCGACGCGCTGCAGCTATATATAACGCGCCTTACAACACGCTACGCGATCGACACGCAGGACGCACTGCACGAGCCAATTGCACGCCAAAATCACGGAATATGGATCAGACTGAGGAGGATGTGATTGCTGAGTACATACTTGAGCTGGATGCCAGAGGATTTGCCCCTCGATTGGCTGCTGTAGCTGATATGGCCAATTCTTTGCGCGCTGAGCGTAATATGGCCTATGTTGGCATAAACTGGCCCAATACGTTCGTCAAGCGCCGCCCTGACCTCCAAGTCAAGTTTAATCGCAAGTACAACTACAAGAGAGCCCTGTGTGAGGACCCTGAGGTTATTAGGGGCTAGTTCCGCCTGGTGGAGAATACTAAAGCTAAGTATGGCATCCAGGATGATAACACGTACAACTTTGATGAGACAGGCTTCATGATGGGCCAGATATTAACAGGAGCAGTTGTTACAGGCTCAGAGCGTCGCGGACGGCCAAAGGCAGTGCAGCAGGGCAACTGGGAGTGGACAACAGTCATACAGGGCATTAATGGCACAGGATGGGCCATTCCGCCCTTTATCATCTTCAAAGGCTGCAACTACCTCTCTACCTGGTATAAAGAGGACAATCTGCCCCACAACTAGGTTATTAGAGTCTCTAAGAATAGATAGACTACTAACTAGCTTAGTCTTAACTAGTTAAAGCACTTTAATGCCTATACAAAGACACGCACCTAAGGAGTGTACTAAAGGAGGTGAGGCAACCTAAAGACACTGTAAACAGTGTTATAAGGTAGGGCATAACTCGCGCACGTGTAAAAAGCCTGTAGAAGCTGTTGCTGAATAATATTACATGCTGTACCAGTGTATACAAGGCCAAAGTAGGCTGGCGGAATGGGTATACTCCAACGTCCTTCGTGGGTACCCCCCAAAACTTTGTCAATAATACATGGATTCTAGCGAACTAGGGCTTAAAAGAAAGAGAAAAACTACCTCTACATTTCTGTAGTAGAGGGTTTTGTTATAACTATTAAACTGCACAAGCTAGAGGCTAGAAAAGGTTAAAAAAGGGGGGGTACCTAGCGAGCATACCCATTGATAGGTATACTTTGCTAGGTAGTGTTAATAACTTAGCTAATACTAGGCGGAATAAGCTAATTCTTTTTTTATTAGAAGGCGCAATACTAGGCGCTTCTACGAATAATAGATTATGTAAGCGTATCTCTGCTAGTTAAGAAGCTATAAGCCAAAACGTAAAAAAGCATACCCTACCCATCCGCCAGCCTAGGCCAAAGTAGGCCAATGCGAGCCATAATAGGGTGGAGGTTTGGTGTGGTCTTGGCAGTATGAACGACTCACCCGTATAAACGACTCACCCGTGGAGTACGTTAGGTGCAACTAAGTTATTAAGTTTTGAGACTATTCTATTGGGTAGATATGGAGATATTAAGCCTTAGATTACTGGTTTTTACTAGTAAAATCGAGTAAGCGGCTCGCCCGTGAGGTACGTTATTGTTCAAACTGACATGCAGGTATGATCCCCGGGACGAGACCCAATGCATGATGGATTTTTACCGAGGTAACGCCGAAAGCTGACGTAGAAGATTCTCGCGGCTTCCCCAACCGTCTCGCAACATCACCAAGCAACACGAGCCGCCTCCAGCTTTCCAGCACCATCCATCTTCTTACGGAAGCCACATTACTAACTAAGAATTTGCATTTCAATTGCTGACTACAGTACCGCCACTATGGATATAAAACCCTTGCATGCGGCTCCGGCAGGGTCCATCAACAAGTCCAAAGATCTCGAATACTACGCTCGATCTACCAGATCTCCAGCTTGCTCTGAGCCTTCACCATAGCTCTAACCCATCACCAAGTTAACGCCAGCTCCACCAAGCTCGCCAGCAATGGCCTACATCCTTGCCCCACGCTTCGCACAAGCCTATCAGGCCACAGAGTGCAACAACCCATTCGGCTTCTGCGCCTCAGCTCCACGACCTACACACGACTACCGCATTGCTCGGCGTTCTCAGCCTCAGCCTTGCCCCTCGCCCTTCGCCAGCTTCCTTAGCCAGATCAAAGACCTGGCTAACCAGATCGACCGCGAGTCACAGCGCCAGGCACAGATCAAAGCTCAGCGGGAGGCTAAGCGGGAGGCCCAACGTGCAGCGCAGATCCAGGCACAGCATGAAGCCTATAGGGCACACATCGAGGCACAGCGCGCAGCCTACCGCCAGCGCCAAGCTCAGATTGAAGCACACCTTGCCGCTCAGCGAGAGGCACGCCTCCAGCAACAGCTCCGCAAGCGCGCCTTAAGGGCTCAATTCGCGGTCACTCAGGGCGAGCAGGGATGGCAGGTCGAAGCTGAGGTTCCTGACTTCCAACAAGAAAACATCAGCATCGAGGTCAACGACGAAAACACCCTGAAGATCGCCGGCAACACCGAATGGGGCGCAAAGCTTCAGATCGAGGTCCAGCCTGAGACCGAGGGTCCACTCGCAGTCGAGCAATCTCCTGAGGATGCTACCGAGCAGACCATTGAAGAGTCAGCAGACGAGAAGCTGGAAGACGGCACCCTCGAACCCTCCGTCCAAGTCGCCACCGAGACTACGGGGACCGGGTCCGCTCGCCCCGCCACGCCAGACAGCGACACCTCCTCGCACAAGTCATACCAACCCACCGTCGAAGACGATTTTGAAGACGATTTCGAAGATCTCGGCCCTGAGGCTTCTACACTTTTCTCCACCCCTTTTACACTTGCCAGAACCTCTGAACCCAAGGGCAAGGAGAAGAACGTCGAGCCCACTGTGATAGCCGAAGACCCCGAGGTCTCTGTCCCCAAGCAGCAGCAACAGAAGAAAGAGGAGGAGGTCGAGGAGCGCCCTCGTGGATCGTTCGAGCGCACATTCAGGTTCCCCGAGCGCATCAATGCTGATGGTGTTCGCGCCAGCTTCAAGAATGGTGTGCTCTGCGTGACTGTTCCCAGGGCACAAGCTCAGCATGCTAGAAGGATTGCGATCTTGTGAGATAGACTAAATATAGATGGCGGACGGGGTGATGGGATTGATGGAGGCGCATATATGGCATGGCGTCATATAGCATAGATGATACGAGTGTGGACTACGTAACGCTTCATCGCTTAGAAAACCCAATTTGAGTGTTCAACTCGAATAAAAGAGCTTAGTCATAAAAGAGGACTAGCTATTTTCAACAAAGGGTTCCTCTGTGATGCCAGTGCTCTGACTACCTCCAGGCTGGATGAACTGACCTACAGTGCACGAAATCCTTGTCTGAACGCAGATCATGGATCGCAGTTTTCTGATGAAATTAAAAGGCACTGTCCAATATCTCCACACGACCCTGGAGTTCTCCGAGCATCTCTCAAACGATGCTGCAATGAGCTGGGCCTTTTCTAGATTTTCTATTGTGTAAACCACTGAGCTATCTCGAGCCAACGCACGAGTATGTCATTGGACGAGCATCTCTGTGGTGCCTATACCCTGACTACTTCCTGGCTGAACAATGAACCTCAATCTCATAGATCATTCCCGCAAGTTTTCTGGCAACTGCGCTACTTGGTTCAAAGCCAAGACGCGCTGTCAAAAGATCTCACACGGCCCTAGACGCTTACAGAGATCTTGCGGTGATGTCGCGAGACGCAAGAATAGGTTCGAGCCTTTTCCTTTACCCACTACGGTATGCGTGCCGTAAACCCTTGCCTGTAAAACTCGGGTACTGTTAGCAAAACCTTGCTCAGAGGAGAGGATAATTAAGGGGAGTGTCGCGGTATCAAGCGTAAATGTAAAACAAGTGTATTCTGCTGTTCTGTTGTTCTGTTGTTCTGCTTGTGTCTGGCCTGTCAAAGGCTGGCTGCGGGGTCTGGTTTGCATGACGTGTTTGTGATGCAGCTGAGGTATTAAGAGGTGCTCAACAACATGAGGAAGCAGCATCAGACCACCGCCAACAACACGTGATCTGCTTCTCCTCACAACCGTTACAGGCGTACTATGAGTGAGGGGGCTAATATAAGTGAAGGGATGCTATAAACGAGAGTTTGCGGTATGTCTCCAAAGCTCGTACTTGTGGTGCCAAAAGCTTAACCAAATCTCGGCTTACTGTATGTAGCAGTACTTCAAATGTGCGAAGACCTCCATCGTGATGTGATATGTCCAAGCAGAGAGGATGAAGCTAAGCCCCAAAGACCGAACCTATGATTCAGTGTCTGCAGCAATTATTTGCAAGACGTAACTTGATAGTTTAGCCTGGAGGTAGTCCAAATATTAACCGGATCCTTGCATCTCAGGGCAGCCTCACTCTAACGAGGGGAGAACTAACTCTTGAATGAAAACTCTACCCAAGAGCTAATTTTGAAGGTGGTCCAAACTCTAACGCGTTAGCTCTAGCTCTTACTTTTGGTAACTTTACAATAGATTCAACCTAAAACTAAGTGCAGTGCTTTGTGGTGTTACGAAGTAGTATCTCTCGCTACCTAAGCCCTTAGGCCTCGCTTACGGCAACACCAGTGATGTGGGTGAGGGTGCCGAAAGACGGCAGGCCTCGGACGAGCATGTCAGCACCGCAGTTCGAAACTTTCAACTTTCAGCCTTTGCATGAATGTGGTACCCGGAGCCTTCAATTACTCGAAAATCTATAGGTTCCGTGGTACGAGCCCATGCGTGTTTGCTGTTTTGTAGAGTTCCGTACCGAGCACAAGTAAGCTAAGAAAGGTTCGGGCAGCGTCATTGCTTTAAGGGCCTAGGTACTAGAGTAAATCTACTACTCAGCTTGATTGTCACGCGCGAGACCTAAGAGCTCGTTTTGGTAAGTTGTGCGTGCAGATGCAGGAGTACCTGTCCTGGACAAAGTGCTGGGACGCATACCTATGTGCGGGTGTTTGATCAATAGCTGAAGATTGCCAGAGATTCAACTAATAATTTGCAGGAACTGGAAGTGTTTTGATCTTTCGAAGATTTAAAATTGTCTAGGGCACAAATTGTGCTTCACCGTAACATTTATTCCCGATTTCCCAATCCCAGGCAACTCAAGAAGGAGCTACCCATTGGCCTGCCTCATTCAATCGAAGTAGTTATCTAGAGAGCCCAAGCGGCAATGCCCATGATGACGGCGGAAAGACCACTCAGCTCAGCAGTGCTGCCAACAGCGGCGTTGCGAGAAGCAGACGCGGAGGCGGAAGCAGCAGACCTAGATGCGCTGGCGCTGTGCGAAGCCGAAGCAGACGCGGAGGCGGAGGCAGAGCGTGAGGCAGAGATTGAGGAGGCAGCGGAGGAAGCAGCACTGCGGATGGAAGAGATAGCACTGATATGATGTTGGCTGCATGTTCAACACCGAAATTGGCGATGAGTGAACTTACGAGCTCTGAGCAGCGGCGCCGGCAACAAGGACGGGGAGAACAACGACTGAGAAACGCATGTTGATGGTTGTGTGGTGTTGTGATGGTGGTGAAAGCGGGAAGTGAAGGCAATCGAGTGACGGTGTTGAGGATTGGAGTCGGTGGAATCTAGATAGGATGATCAAACCGGACTTGCAGCACAGCCTTATGACATGCTTCTTCAGCGCACGAGCCATACTGGATGACACTTTCTTGTTGAGGGGCCCTAAGCATATTCTCGTGTTCTTGATCGCTCTGGCCCGGGCCAAATTTGGCTGATTAACATGTCACATCCGTGGTTGTGCATTAGAATCGGCCGTCTACATGCACATCATCCCCTCTTCCAATTATCTGTCACCCAATCGCAGGAAGCCATACTGAATACAAGCGTGGCTGCTGTCGTGATAGTCTGGTCAGATGTTGTAGTGATCTAGCAACTCAACTTGGCGTCCAATTACATGACGCCGTTACGCGTAGCACAGTTGACGTTTGCGACAGTACCCATCAAACGGCAGTCTTGACCAATCATGAGTCACGAACTGATCATAAATTTTGTCATAGTACGAAGTCAATGATTAACAGTACACTGTGGCTGGTAAGAGTGTGCGTTGATCTTTACTGGGCTGAAGTCCAGGCACGATCAGGCGCGCTCGAGGCGAGATTTGTAGTATTGCAATTTGTGAGCAAGCTAGTCGCTTGCAGGCATGCTCACGAACTTCGTTCTGGACAAAGAAGGGAAAATGATATAAAGTCTATCAGCACTGAGGAGACTCAAGGTTGTGTACATGGTCAGCATTTTGACCCTGCGAATTCCCCTGTACAGATCAACGTCGGTTATGCATGTTGAAACAGTACCCACGGCCCGTGATGGTTGTAAAGTGCCGACTCTGTGGCTCCTACCTGGGTCAATACTGTAGAACCTGGCCTCTGCTGCTCGTTCTCGCCGTACCCCGGCTCTCAATAGCATCGTTTATTCCACGGGCCAACTGCACACAGCTGCGGCCAATCGCAGCATCAGTAGCGCCTGTGCCACCCGGAGGACAGCACTAGCTCACCTGCTATTGGATGCCACCTTGCAGTAGCCAAACTCACTGAGGCCAGGTTCTATGGTAGCTCGTGTTCTAGCCCCGTCCAACCTGAGATTTCCGTTCGAAGTCGTCGTCGCTGTCGATCCACCTTCACGAAGTTAAGCTTCGCACTTACGCTGGTCAAAAGCTTGGTATTCTTGTCTCCTTTAAATACCTAGCGTAAGTGTGCCTTGCAAATCCGAGGCAAACTTGTTCACCCTTGGTATTGAGATCCCTCTAGGCACGTGCGATCGTTCTTATGGTCACTACTAGATCTATACAGCCTCTCGAGGTCTGCATGTTCGAGACCCATGGGAAGATACCCAATCAGAAAGCGCAGGGCGCTGGAAACTGGAAACTGGAAGCAAGGGAAGAGGCACGAGTCCGGTGCTGAATGGGAGCAGATGATTGGACATTTATTAATAGTGGCGACCTCCGAACCAAACCCGAAAGCAGCCTCGCGCATCGAGACTATCGACGACGAACCCCGCCCATGAACCAGCGCTGGAGCTGCTGCAGAGGGATGCGCTGTGCGCGCGATCCTTCCATGTTACGAGCTCAAACAAACCATGCAGCGATACTCAGTACAATCGCTGCCAGCCCGCTGAACTGGCCGGAGGAAGCCGTCGCCGCTCCTGCAGAAGCCGACGCTGTAGCAGCTGAAGCGGATCGGGAAGCTGAAGCTGATGCGGATCGGGAAGCTGATGCGCTGCTGGCAGCGGCACTTGCTGCGCTGGTGGAGGCTGCTGAAGATGCAGTAGATCCAGAGGCACTGTCGCAAAGTCAGTATGGTCCTGTTAGGGCCAGATTCAGAAAACTCACGATGCCGAAGCTGAAGCTGACGATGCGCCACTACTCAAGCTCGCAATTTGGGTGTCGTCCAGCAGCAGTCCTCCTTGAAGCTTATCGGGGGTTTTCGATGACTTAACACTTACAGCTGCAGAGCTGTAAGCGTCAATCGTGTCGCTGCCCGAAGTGCTTACATCAATCAGCCAACATCTTGCGCTAAGGGATAATAGTACTTACGGAATGTTAATGCCGCCGACCATACCAGCCCTGGTTGTGTTAGTCACGTTTGCCTACAGATTTGGGTTGAACTCACTGGCAATGCTTTGACTCGCCGCAGTAAAAGTACACGGGGTCATCACTGGTGACGTTCACGACGAACTTCTTGGCGCCACTGTCGGTATCAGAGTACGGACCGCTGTAGACTGTATTTGCGCGTAATCAGTAACCGTCAAGGCAGCAGAGAAGCAAGCAGCGGACGTACAGTCATCGTCGTCGGACTGGCAGGGGTTGTCGAAATCACCCCCAACGACATTGTGTCCTGGGAAGAGCTCAAAGACAACACTGTCGCCTTGGACAGCGCTGACAGTCTGGGGATCAAAGGAGAGACCCGACTTTCCAACTTGGACGGTGTGCACGGCGGCCGAAGCCAGTGTCACAAGTACGGGTGCTACGAGGAGATGCATCTTGGCAAAACAATTAAAGATGTCGAAGTAAGCTTTCACACAAGGTAGATCTTGGTCTCTAGCGAAATGAGATGAGAAAGATTGAGCAGAATGTGAGCATTATAGATACTTAAGGACACCGCCTGCCTTGCTGGTAGTTCGTCCTTGCCTAGCCGTCGAACCAGAAAGTTACGCCGTAGAGTACGAGTTTAATTGGAATACGAGTATCACGAACAATCGAACTGAAAAGGAAAGGACTACCTACCACAATGTCCTTAGAAAAGGGCCGCTCGGCCGGAGGCTGTGTAAGATACGGGCCTACTTGATTGAGGGGTGAGATTCGATCTTATTTCGCCAGGATCCATACCTGGTGCAATCTTGACTCATCAAGGGTCTTTGGTAGGCATGACATTCAGAATTGTTGTCGCATTACTCATACGAGACCAAGCGCACGCCGTAGAGGTAGGAAGACCGAATGCGCTCGAATGCGCGTGGATCTGTCGTCGATGGCTGAACAAACTTCAGGACGCTAAATCTCCGCTAAATCTCCGCCTGAAGCCTGGCTCAGCCCCAGTCGCAACCCGCATTCTTCCTATAGGATAGGCCTCGGCGGCGACCTTCAAGTTTCGATGAGGTTGGCTTGGAAGTAACGGGATCCGCAGTCGATGGGCGCAAGTGCTGTCGAAAGCGCCAATCAGACGCAGCTGTCAAGGGAAGGAGGGAGTTAGCGAGCCGCAGCCAATGTCCTCGCCGGAGTCAATCGGACGAAGATCTCAGGACGACCGCCGCCGGAAAAACAACCGTACAGTTATCTCGTACCCAGCCATCAACCTGTGGCTTCGCTTAGATTGGTAGCCGGGTATTCGGATGGTGACTTTCACAACGTTCGAGAAGTTATATTACGTGACTGTACTCGTCCCTACTCACACAAGACCTCTGCAGCCATCCCCCGGCAGCATCATGGACTCCGCAAACGTTTTAGATGCTGTTTAACTCTCAGAAGCATTGAGAAGTGGGAGACGGTGTCGTCAATTGCTTTTCAATGCGATACCATCTTTTGTAATACATTACCCATCCCAAGGTTCATGCCATGCTCGTTTCTCTACTGATCAAGACCTCTCACCCACGAAAGCATATCAGTTCTAATCCCCTTGTACCGACATCTGTTCAGCCCGGCGTTACCTGGAGCAGTGCAGGCCATGCGCCTTAACCAACATCGGTCGCACGTTACCTATCCTTGCTTGAACGACTATATACACATTTGCAGATCGACCACGAGTCTTGAATCAAATTATCGACCTGAGAGCCTCAGAGCGAACTCGGGCCTCATTGTGGTTCTTAGCATTGCACTCGAACGTTACTTGATGCGTTCCAGTTCGGACATTGTCCGGCCCGTGCGTGTCGCAAATCTCTAACGGCACCTGTCTCGCGCCGTCACAACCACCAATCTCGAACTTCATCACACGTTTGATCGCTGCCGACAGCATCAAAGACAGCAAGAGGGAGCGGCATACTCTGGCCCCGTTCAAAGCGCAGCCGAGCCTAGAGCGAACAAGCAGCGAAATGCTGGTAGCACAGCATTGACAGCCGAGCCTACGACCAGGCGGTGAACTTGCGAAACGTGACAGTTACAGCAATGACAGAGGTTTGCAGCATACATGCCACACATTTGAACGGGCGGGATAATCCCATGTATTCACTGCTGTGTAACGTTGTTCGACGCTCGCTCATCACCTGTTTCCTCTTCTTGTTTCTAATTTGACCTTCAGCTACAGGCTGCCAACTTGACCTCTTAACAGTCACGCTTGGGAGCTGGGTATATATAATCATCTAATACAGGTACAATCGTAACGTGTTCCGCTAGGTATCGAGACCAAAGAAGAGTCGGGGAAAGGCCGCCAGCCTGTCATGAACGAAATCACGTCGAAAGTCCATGCCATCACGGTCAAAGTCAATGGGCGCAACAGTACAACTCCACATGTCGGCCTACCGCCATATGTTCATAACCGCACTAATCGACTGTCGCGGTTTCTCTCGGTTATATCACTGACGCTTCTTCTTCTGCTGTCAATCCCGACCCTAGTCCTTAAAGCTTTTGGCTACAACTTCATCGAGATCAACGCCGAGATGGGCTTTTACCTTGTGAACGATGAGGGCCAGGGCAAGCCGGCGGACAATGGCCTGGTGGCTGCGCTTCCCCACAACCTGTTCCGTGTACCGGAGAAGCTTGTGCTAGTTGTGGCCATGCTCAACATACTCCTCAGCATGGCACACTTGGGTTTCCTTGTTTGGGACTGGAGAGCTGGCAGACGAGTGAGTTCGTCAATGACTGCATACATGAGCGTGAAGCTAATGGCTAAGAAGACCCAGACACGTGCGTTCCGTCGCAACGCAATGATCTTGCACATTATCAACGCCGTCCTCGTCCTATGTGCGCTGATTGCCATATCGGTGGCTCACAAGAAATCATCGACATTCCAATACCAGCTCATTCCTAAGGATCCTAATGTTGCCTCTCCTTCAGGCTACCGTTACTTCCGCTACGATTCCGGTACTTTTGATCTCGAGACCTGGACCTGCGAACTCAAGGACGCGAGGGGTGTTGGTGATGCAAGGAAAGACTACAGCGCACAGTGCCATATTGAGGTTGCTGGCAGGATGATCATGACCCCCTTCTTCCTCGCAGCCGTTACCATCACAATGCTGTCAGTCTGGGCACTCATTGTCGGTGGGAAAGAAATGCCTTACAACGAGCAAATTTACACCAAGGATGTCGATCTCGAGTATGTCGATCTCGAGGGGGGCAAGGGAACTGGAAATGGCAAGCAGGTGCAAGTTGGGGAAGTTGAGCTCGACACCTTGAGACCAGAGAGGCAGTTTGATGCCAGGCTCAGCAAGATCGAGGAGGATGCGGAGGAGCCTGAAGAGGCTTCGAAGGATACCGCACCACCAGCAAATGTTGAAGCAGAGACTACTGGATTATTTGACAGTAAGAACGTAGACACAAGGGCTGGAGCCACCGCAGCTTGACGGCGGAGGTAGAAAGTCGCCCGCAATAGATATTCTTACAAACAACGTCATTAGCGATCTCTTTGGCTGCTAAATGACTGGTGACGTCGTTTGCTCAGCTCAGGGAAGACTTCCTGTACCACTACGAACTCTCCCTGCAGTGCCTGTCAGCATGCTCTGCTTTCACACTCTCTATCAATCTGACGATAGAGCTGATCTTCGATTGGTCACACTTCACAACACATGCTTCAACAGACGCGCCCCGTCTGTGCTTTGCGCACAGGAGCTAGAGAACATGAGAGCAGATCACCAGATTCATCCTCTCCACTTTGATTTAGTTTGTGAGCATGTCATAGAACATGACTGACCTCAGTCCGCAGCAAGTCCTTTCAACCGGCCCGTGCAGAATCACGGATCCCAACCTAAAGTCGAAGTCAGCAGTAATCAACACAATAGCACAATCTCCCTTCGGATTGTAGCGGCTGTACTGACCTCTATGTGAGCGACTGGATGTGATCCGGAAGACCAACCAGTTCTTCCGCGAAATGCACGAAGCTAATGCCTCCGTTTCCGCAGTTGGCTCAGTATTTGTGATCTGCTCGTGCACACCAAACTTCGATCCATGGAAGTGGGAGTAATTTGCTGGTCCGCATAAATTGTAAGTATCGAGCTCCTCTATGAGGCAGTCTTGACGCTTACATGCTCGGGTGAGATGGCAACAGTGGTGGATATTCGTGCGGCGCGTGACTATACGCAGCTATCAGTACCTGTAACCACGTGGCTTAGATCACATGATATCCTATTGTAACAGGTACCGTAGGTACTGCTGGTGGGCAAGTGCGCTTGCCTGAGAGCTGAGAGCTTCGGTAGCAAAACATCAGACAACACGACAACAGATAGCAATACAATCATTGATCACAGTCTCCGACCGAAAATGCTCACACAGTTACAGTATTGGACTGCCATAACAGGTCAAGCGAAGACGTACGACGGAGACTCTTGTAAAGTAAGCAGGAAAAACGATGCTCAATACTAGGGCAATGACTACAAGGCTAGTGACGAAGGCAAGAAGAGTGTTCATGTTGTCGATCTTTGAAGTATTTCGTTGGAGTCGATGATGTGGGTATTGATCAGCAGAAGTACCACAATTCATACGTGCCAGGGAAGATTTCCTTTGAATGAACCAAGGAATAACAACAGTCAAACTTTTCTTCGCGGTCCTGCGATTCATACGTGTCATCGGCATTGCCACCGACACAAGGACCGAGGCTAGATTGATAGACACCCTACTCAAAAATCTGCCCTAGGATTGTACCCATTTGAAAGCCAGTATTAGACTCCAGAGGTCTCTAATGTCGTCATCAACAGCACTGCGTGTCCAAGCGTGGTGCAGATAAAGCAGAAAGGAAAGCCTACAACAAAGGGCAGACTAAATCAGACATTAGTCTCGCAGGATGTCTCCAAGGGATACCTTGACTTTGAGGCTTCTCAACAGACTCCCTGAGCTTACGAAGACTTACAAGACCGGTTAACCTACTGTTTAGCCAAATAAGAAGACCAGTATCCAGACTCGTTATCCTCCTCTGTGGATAGTGCTTTCGTGGTACCAATACCCCGACTAACTCACAGCTGGACAACGCATCTGCAGACTATAGCCCATTGATTCGAACACGGACTTTCCTGCACTTGTCGAAAGCTAGACCAGTTGCGATTATATACTGATCAGAATCAAGAGAGTCCCACAGGCTGTGCATATCCCTCCGGGGCTGTGTGTAGTCGCTCGAAATTGTCTGAGCCATGCGGAAATTCGCGATGTAAAGATTGCAAGACGAATGATGATTCACAAAACACTTATCAATTATCGCAGCCTGAGGTTCGGAGGGTTGGTGCCAGAGAGCGTGACAATTATGTGCGCGACAACGTTCATAGCATTGAAGTTCAGAGTAGATATAGATGTAGGCACCATTGATGGGACGTTTTGACAATCAGGGTCTCTTGAGTAGCAGCAGAAGTTAGCTATAATCGTAAATTTTTGTAGCCTCTAGAAACGGAATCAGACTGAGCGACACGCACAAACGATCACTGCCTACCTCAGATTCGCATGGTTTCCTGACCTGTAACTTAATTGGGCTGTGACCCGAGGGACCGGATAGTTTTGAGTTTGTCTACTGAATGAACGTCGCTAAATTGTTCATTCAAGAGTCGCCCGGCCAGGTTGCGGAAATTTCGTGCCTCTTCGGCAGAGATCGCTTGCACAGCGTCGGGTCCCCAAATTAAGATGCATCTGGAACCTAATGAGAATATCTCTTTTCAGTTTTTGACAACGCACCAGGGTCCCTTCCAAAATAGCAAGATCGAAGGTGCAGCAGTTTGAAAGGACAACTATGATGTGGGAACGTGGATGCATTTCGTGTGATGTTGCCGGTGAGAGCTAGTTCGACACCAGCACTGGTCCTGAAATTTCACTTTCATGGTACTATTGTGGTTCTTTCCGGGACAGCTCGAACGTAGTGTTGCACAATGAGTATAATCTGGGGCCTTATGGGCTGTCGCAGATGCGAAAGTCGATTCTGCCAATGAACTCTCGTGAGTCGTGGGGCGTCGTGCATCTCGGAGATGACGTGGATGACCCTTCGGGTCCCCAGGGTCCGCCCCGGCTGACCTGCATACCCGCATCGCAGCTCACGAGAAAGGTGTGTCTCGGCGCTTGGAATCAGATGGCAGATGCAATTAGAGCAAGGATCTGCGATTCAAAAGTGGAGAGCTGTCTCGCTAGTCAATGTAGGAATGTATTGGAATTTGGGGCTTGGATGCGCGCAGAGTAAAGATTGTCGGAGAATCGACGTCGACACTACCCGAGCTGAGGGCATGCATCGTGAGCAGGAGCGACGGGATAGGTAAGCTGCTGAATGTCGTGGATGCGCAATATATGGTTGCTCTGTGCATGGCCGCCGCAGTGTCTATGTGTGCAAAATTCCTTCTCTTCTCGTAAACGTGATGACAATTCAGCGAGACCGTCTGCGACCCGATAGATACATAGCTATACAGGTTATACATGGCTGATCTCGGCAGTATCTAAGCCACAAGGCCCCGCCATGACAGCGTCTCCAATAGGAGCATCGCCTCACGCACGGGCAGCCGGGAGCTTGATAGAGTACTGCACCCCCGGCCATGGCACAGCTGTCCGGAAACCCCACAACGAGCAGTTGCAGGGCAAAGGCTCATCCAAAAAGACTGTCACCGCATTTGCATGCAAGTGCGAGACATCATACCATCCAAGAGACTCGCACGGACATCGATACTGCACATCGACAACCTCCATGGAGCCACAAACACTCGCAAAAGACGACGTAAAGCCTGCTAAATCCAGAACCGACCTGAATACGATGGAATTACCGCGACTGGTGATGACGCGCGATGGTCCAGAAAGAGCGTGTTCTCCATCTCCGAGTACAGCAGGGACTGGCGTTGATAACATCTCCTGGCCATCACGCCGGGGAAGTGCTCAGCAAGCCACAGACTCTGTCATTAGTCTTCTAACACCAGCGACGAGAGCTAGAGCTAGCCAACTGAGAGGTGTGCAGACTGCTGAAAACGAAGGAGTCGTCTTCGCTCCGCCACCGATGCATCCGAAGAAGGGAACATCCCAAGGACCACCACAGGGATTTTCACAAGGAAGACCAGAAGGGCCCCCTGGTGGACCACCTGGAAGCTATGGTCCATATCCTTCTCTACCGAAGACTATACTAATAATGTTATCACTATACGTGTCCATCTTTCTCGTCGCACTGGACCGGACGATCCTAGGGCCAGCCATTCCTTCGATAACGAATCAATTCAACAGTCTGGAGGACATTGGCTGGTACTCATCAGCGTACATGCTCACGTCGTGCGGCTTTATCCTCTTGTACGGCCGCATATACACGTTCTTCCCTACCAAGCCGGCCTTCTTGACAGGCATCGCCCTCTTCGAGATCGGAAGCGCAATCTGCGGTGCGGCACAGAACAGTCTCATGCTTATAATTGGCAGAGCTGTTGCAGGTCTGGGAAGTAGTGGTGTATTCACCGGTGCCATCTTGATTATGATGAACACTGTGCCTCTGCACAAGAGGCCATTGTTGCAAGGCTTGTTTGGTGCATGCTTCGGTGTCGCAAGCGTGACAGGACCGTTGCTTGGCGGTGCATTCACAGAAAGCGGGCTGACCTGGCGATGGTGCTTCTATATCAACCTACCACTGGGTGCGATAACGATAGTCGTGATTATGTTCCTGTTGAAAATCGACGACACAAAGCCACCAAGGAAAGGCTGGAAAGATACGGTGCGGAAGATGGATCCTCTTGGGACTATCCTATTCCTTCCTGGAATCACGTGTCTTCTGTTGGCTCTGGAGTGGGTCGCTACAGAGGACGCCTGGAATTCACCTCGGATCATCATTCTCCTTACCGTTTTTGCCATCCTGTTCACAGCTTTTTTAGTATGGCAATACATTACTCGCAACACCACCGCTACGGTACCGGCTCGCATCCTGTTCCAGCGCAGTATTGGGTGCGGCTGTGCATCGCAGTTGTGCGTCGGCGCCACGATGTTGACAATCTCAATTTACATGCCCCTGTGGTTCCAAGCCATCCGAGGAGATTCTCCTTTCCAGTCTGGTTCCAACTCTCTACCTCTGGTACTCTCAACTGTATTCGCCTCAATTTTGTCCGGTGGGCTAATCCAGCGCCTCGGATACTACACCCCTTTTATGATCTTCGGAGCCTGCTGTATGGCTGTAGGAACTGGCTTGATTACCACGTTGACTACTCATACGAAAGATGCCCAGTGGATTGGCTACCTAATCGTCTTAGGTGTTGGTGTTGGTAATTCAATGCAGCACGCCAATCTAGCAGTCCAGGCCATTCTTGAGAGGCGCGACATCCCAATCGGCACCGCAATGCTGTCGCTGTGCCAAACACTTGGCGGTGCGGTATTCACCGCTGTCGGCCAGAATCTGTACATCAGCAAGTTCTCCGAAGGCCTCAAGCGCATTCATGGCATTGATGTAGGCCATATTCTGGGAGCTGGCGCAACGGAATTGACGAAAGGCCTAGCACCTGAGGTTCGTGGAAGGGTGTTGGAAGCTTACAACGATTCATTGACGCAAGGTACTTTCCTGGCGGTTCTCTTCGTCGCCTGCTTAGCCATACCTGCTGCCATGGGTATGGAATGGCGGAGCGTGAAGAAAGATGTCACGAAACCAGGACCACTAAGCGCAAAGGACCTCGAGATGAATGACACGTTTCGGAGAGAGTCTCGCAGAAGCATTCATTCTGATAGACGTACATCTCGAAAAGATGGTATTAGATTGGATGATGGTGATATCGTCGCACCACCAGCTCCAGCTTGGAAGAAAATGCACCGACCCAGCGGACACTTTTCGCAATGGATAACGGCGAAAGTGAATCCCGATCTTCGTACAGAGCTGGCATACACCAAATAGGATGACGAAACCCACTCAAATAATGCTGCACTATCATCGCATCTTGTTTTAGATTTGGCACAAAGCCAGGGGAAGATGTTTGTTGCCACACATGATGTTGCTTTGTGGGGTAGTTGATATTACAATGCATGTGCCAGCGTTACCAACGGGAAGGACAGGTTCACAGTGAAGGTCAATCGCTGTAACCTACAGCAATTATAAGCAGCCGTAGCGTCCTAAAACCTACATAGTAAGCGTTACGTCACAGAGCGATAGTCTTGTTCATCAACCCAAATCGAACACTTCATTTTGCTCCATTCGCGATCTGACGTCAACGCGCTTGCTGTTGCGCCTTTGCAATGGTATCACAGCGATTAAGAAGCGATAAGTACGCTCATAGTTTTTGCCATAAAATCGAAAGGGCTCGAAACGTTGGATGATAAACTTCTGGTGCAGCATGTCTTGGGTGTCGAGAGCCGCCATGAATAGGGGCCAAGCGACCCTAAAATCCGGCTGATCTCCACTATGCGTATAGTCTTAAAAGCAGAGATGCATGATCTCTTGTAGCGTATAGCGTTGTCGTTCGTCCATATGCTCATCAAAGGCCGTCAAGCGCTTGAAGTCCAAGACAACTGCGTAGTACATTGGCACTATCGCTCACACATTCGCTACCAGTCTGTGGCTGTTGTCTGTCTTGAAAGATAGCTTGTGAGCCACCTCCACAAGTTCTCTGAAGAGGTCACCGACCTAATCTATCGAGTATTTAACCTCGTGTGCTTGTTCTGTTGCTGAAGTAGGGTCATCTCGACACAGTGTCGCTAGCTGGGTAGTCAAAAAGCGCAGATATGCGCAATGACCGAGCAAAGCATAAACGTTCCGGCTCTTCACATCGTCCAAGAGCTCGGCTTAAGGATAAGCATTACCCCAGGCTAATCGGTACAAGGAATTGGAGTAGTGATGGAGGCGAGCCACTGCCTTTATCGGATCCTTAGAGCGCATGCGAGAGACTGTGGGGTTCGAGAGAAGCATGGTCAAGATGGCTTTATTCACGTGTCCACCAACACCGGAAGTTGCAGCCGCAGTTTCCAACAAAATAATCCAAATCCGGACGCGCGCGGAGTAGAGAGAAATTTTCGATTCCATCATTGACATGTCTGCCCGAAGAGGCACGTAAGCCTTCTCGAGGGCCCCAAGTTTGAGTGGAGGAAGTTGAAGTAGGTCACCACTTTGTGACTGCAACAACGATGCCACTCTCTGGAGATCGCTCAGATATGTTCTGCAGCGTTCGTCACCGAATTGTTGCTCGTATATCAGCATCAATCAAAGGGCAGTAAGGATCGTGTGTAGGTCTTTCGTGGTATCGCTTGATGGCACGATAGCATCGGCCATGATTCTCGGAGACTGTCCATAATGATGCGACGGTGCATGTTCAGCGCTGGGCAAACACCGATGACGTCGATAGTCCATCTCTTCATGCCCAATTGCCAAGACCATATGCATGACCATGGGTTCAACTTGCGCGATGCTGAACATGAGAGATACCAATGAATACTCTGAGTTTTTCGTATGATGCAACTTCGCGAATTTGGTTCGGAAATAGCGAATGGCTTCGTCTTCTTCCTCACATAGCTCCAGAATACATCTTGCCGTGTCTGTTGACGTCCTCATCGAGGGGCTCAAAGCAGAGCTGGCGATGCAGGATACTTGTATTGATGGCGAATAGGCAGTCGCAGGGCTTCTGTCTGTGATAGCAGCTGTGCTGCCATGGGCTGGCACTGCGGGAGAGTTGTACACTTCTTGGGCGGCACTCGAGCCGATGGGCGATGCTACATTGCTGGTAGACGACAGAGCGCTCGGTGCAGAACCTGTGCTTCGATTAGTCTTACGAAGCTCAGCGAGAGTCGGTCGCGGAGCGTAGTCGCAAGCTATCTCGAGCCGTTCACATCGCCCGCAGACAGGACGGCGTCGATCGCAGCCTTTCTTCACCGTTGGACTGCGACATGTCCAACAACCACCTCTGCTACGGCGCCGTGTCTCAGAGGCATGGTTCGCTTCTGTCGCCATATGCGTGAAAGCATTCAAGGTGAGCTGCCTGAAGGCATTTGCGGGGAAGAACGCACGCCTAGCAATAGACGGATGAAGGAAGGGTCCTGCGCTAAGCGACAACGCTAGTTACGGTACCTTACCAGTATTTGATCCAAAATAAGCGCTCGTTACATATCGGGCGCTTCTCCATCTGCAAATGAGGTCAACATCTCGATTGAAAAGGCCGAAAGCCATCTTCCAAGCCTACAAAAGTTGCTCTGTATCAGCCATGAGCATCAAAGTCTCTATCACCTTGCACACTTCGTCTGCCCACACAGCTTCAACTGTATCAGCTCAAGTACTAACATCGACTTTTATTTATCCAATAGGGCATTCTGTGATCCAAATCTACGATGGGTTCGTACAGCGAAAGCGAAACAGCGCTTGGGGGAGCACGCTCGACCATAATATCGACCATCGACGGCGCCGACGCCGAGCTTCACAAGATCAACAAAGCGCTCCACGGGAATCCAGAACTAGGGTACGAGGAGCATTTCGCTCACCAAACAATCACAGAATATCTCTCATCTCTTGGATTCAACGTGGAGAAGCACGCCTATGGCTTCGATACTAGCTTTGAAGCAGAGTATAGATCAGGTGGCCGTTTCGTCGTCATCTGTCATCATCTGTGCTGAATACGACGCGCTCCCAGGGACCGGTCACTCATGCGGCCACGAATTGATCGCAACTTCTTCAATTGCGACATTTATAGCTGCGGCAGAAGCTATGAAGAAGCACAGCATCGAGGGTCGGCTACGGATACTTGGTGCCCCTGCTGAAGAAGGTGGAGGTGGAAAAGCGAAGCTTATCGACGCTGGTACATTTCCCAAAGATACTTCCGCAGCCATCATGGCACATCCATTGGCTGCGCATCAGGTTTTCCACAGGCCTGGATACTACTAAGGTCTTGCTGGCCTGAATCTGATAGTAAGCCATAAGTTCAAGACCGAGTTTCGGGGCAAGCCAGCTCATGCAGCAGGCGAGCCTTGGGATGGTGTCAATGCACTTGGTGCAGCAGTATCGGCATATTCTAACGTCGGTCTTCTGAGGCAGCAAATGGAGCCGGACGAACGTGTGCACGGAGTTATAGAGGCAGGGGGGACCGTACCCAACGTCATCACCGACTATACACGGATGAACTGGAACGTTCGTAGCCCTACGATGGAGTGGGCAGACAGACTGCTCGTTCGCGTCAAGAATTGTATCGAAGCAGCAGCCTTGGCTTCTGGTTGCGAACTGGAGTATATCACGTAAGCCTCACGTGTTAATTGTGTGAATCTCCAGTACTGAACACCTCCAGTTCACCCACTTACCTCAATCTTCGGGCGAACAGAACGCTGTGCAAGCTGTACGCCCAAGGGATGGATACCCTTCGCATCAATATCCAGATCGATCAGGAGAAGATGATGAATGCCTCGACGGATATGGGCAATGTCTCGCGCATCATACCCATTTTCCACGGCGCATTCGTTATCCCCGCCAAGAACGATGTGTCAGCTCACAATCCAGCATTTGCAGCCTGTGGGGTACGGACGGCGGCCATAGGGCGGCAGTGGATTGCGCGAAAGGAATAGCAATGCTCACTCTGAGGTTTTTGGTGGACGAAGGTGTTGCGAGGAGAGCAAAAGAAGACTTTGAAACGGACGATGGGTAGCGTCAGGACTCTGATCGTATCTTGTGTAATATAGTGATAGCACTGCTAGATTTCCTCGCCAATGACGTCACCGGGCGCGCCGTCTTTTTCCCCAGCCGCCAACAAACGAACAGCCACACCACCTCGTGCTGCACAAATTCTTTGTACAGAGCAACAACGATGAATGAACGCAAGCACCGCGTACGTTGGACGAATGTATCCGTGCCCAGCTCGCTGCACTTTGCTCAAGCCTGAACCTTTGCGAAGCCTCAGGCAAGCTGTTAAGCATTTGCAAATTGCGAACTTCGTTAATGGTCCGAGGTCTTTCGACTCGGCCCGTGTCGCTGTCTGCGGGATCTTTTGCTCCGGAAACGGTCGCCTGCTATCATGTCAACGCAGCCTTGATAGGTCGAGGACGTTGGGCATCTCTGCCTGCACAAACACCAGACGAGATGACTCTTGTTCAACCGCTACATCAGGCCGACAATCAATCGTTCCGTAAGCGGATGTCCATTGCTGCAGCAGTGTACAGGAGCAAAGGGACAGAACACACACTTCACGATTACCACCTCGATCCCAGCTCGCGCATGTTCACAGCATGAGCGCCCGGCTCGCCCCGCGTAACTCGCCTCAGTCAAACGCCAGCTCATGCGCAGGCGCTTCTCGATCCGGTGGGCTCGACTGTCGAGGCAGCGAATGAACTGTACGAGCTCCACATTTCTGGCCAATCAGCGTCCGCTACGTTTAGAGTCCTAGGGCCTGCTGGGTCACCGCACTTTGACGTGCATGCAAAGCCACCTGGGCTTGGGAGCCCAAAGTTGTTGATCGTCAACCTTTAAATGCATAGGTAACCCCGGATTTCGATGATACAAACCATCGACAACAGGTCTTCGTCAAAATGTCTGAAATTATGCCTCCGGCTCCGGCTCCACCAGCTGCAGTATCTGCTTTAGCCTTGATACCACCTCCCACGCCTTCGCAGGGTCCCCTGACATATCGTGAGCGACTGGCACAGTTCCGCATACTAGAGGAGAAGAGGATCGAACTCATCGAGGTAAACGAGAAGTGGCCACCCTAGTCCACCGTCGACTGACGCATTGAAGGAATTATTGGACAAGCTCGAGAAGACTGAAGCACGGCTTGCACAGACCGAACTCGATCTCAACTCGGAACAAAATGTCCGTCGAACGCTGCAAGCTGAGGTCCATGAGGCGAAGACAAGGGAGGACGCACTGGCACAAAAACAGGTCAGACTAGCCCCACTTCGCCGGGTTCACATATGCTCACTAGCAAACAGGCTAAACGTCCTTTCGTGTTGGTGCTGATAGATGTAGATGCTGAGGGCTTCCTCGTGAGTCCAAGTACAAAGTTGCATGATGAAGTGCAGTGCTTACCTACTACAGTTCCAAGACAAGTACATTACCAAAAAGGCCCAAGGTGGCGAGGCTCTAGCAGATGAGCTTCTTATCCGTACACGAGAATACCTCAGACCACAATTCGAAGATGCAGACAACTTGGACATCATTGTACGAGTATATGCGAACCTCGAAGGTCTAGCGAAGTATCTGGTACGGCAAGATAAGATCAGCAACCTGGGATCTCTGCGTGCTATGTCAACTTCGTTCAGTGGCCGCATAGCAAGCTTCGATTTTGTGGATGTTGGTGTCGGTAAAGAAGGCAGTTCTGGTCGAAAGATTCGAGGTAGGTCGACTAGCTGACCCGCTGTTTCGTGATTTTGATGACTTACATTTACAGAGAACCTCTCATTCTTCACAGCAAACTCCCATCTGCGACATGTCATTGTTGGGTGCTCGCCTACCGATCTGCCTGCTGCTCTCCTATCGATGCTTCCTCTCGATAGAGTTACATTGATCGAGTCATTGCCACTTCCTGCCGCGCTTACCACACTACCTCTGAAAGTCACGAAATACTCGACGGTATTTCCTGCACCACCACCACCACCAAAGTCGCCTCGGCCAACCGGCCGCAATGGGCCCCAACTCCAGCTCATGCAGCAAGACGACGATAGTGGAGGCCAGACATGGCTCGTCATACAGCCAGAGCGAAGCGATAGCAACAGCAGGCACCGTGATTCCAAGCGGCGAGGCAGAAGCGAGGATGAAGCATCCAATATTAGCATTTCGATAGGTCCTGACAACAGCGTCAGTGTCGATAGCGGTCACAGCAGGCGGATCATGAGGTGAACAGCCATGGTCTAGGTTTAGATGGGTGGGGTGTCGAGGCCTGTCGGCATAAATGATGGATCGAGACTGAACGCATGGCATAGCGTAGCGTAGTATTTGCGCTTACAGACTCAGAAAACATAGAGGCGTTGTCTTTGGGGACATCCAAATGAAGAGCTACTGTTAATCCTGTACAACGAACCTACACTTCGCACAGTATGACTCAAAGGTATCCTCAAACGTTATGAGGTTGTGCAAAGCGAGGTGGGGAGATCATCTAGAACTTGAGCGCGCAAGCTTGTCTTGAAGTTAGTTGATCTTCACCCCAAAGTACCGAGGAGATGTCCAGGCGCTAGTGCATGCTTGGTATGCGCACCTCAATCCTTACACGGAGCACGTCATCCGCCCACCAATCGAATGCGAGACACTTATCCGACATCGCCCATCTCCCAACATGTATTCAATACCAAGCATCAATCACGCAAGGATGTACTTCAAATAAGTACCTCTGAAAGCCACAATGTTGGAACGCGATTGTCGCTCACCGCTCCCCCAGTCTCTCCACGTGGTTCCACCGCGTACAGCCCGCATATACGAAGCCTCACCTCGTGGGTGTGCTTCTCTTTCGTGCATCAACCTGCAAACATGACTGACCTAGAACACCATGTTGCATCCGACCATGCCTCGACTGAACCAATCAAGGAACCCAGTATGTCCACGCCAATCAGCTTCATCTCCACACTTTAACACTAATAGTCAAATGGTACCGCACGCCCTTTTACAACGCTACAGTCCTTGGCTTTTGCAGTCTCGTAGCCCCTGGGCTATGGGGCGCCATGAACTCGTTGGGCGCCGGTGGCGCACAAGAACCGTACCTGGTCAACACTGCCAACGCCCTGACCTTCTGCCTAATGGTCGTTTCCTGCTGGCTCACATCTTCGCTTGTCAAGTACATTGGGATCAAAGGCGCGCTTGTCGCAGGAACCATTGGCTTCGCACCCTACAGCGCAGGTCTGTACACAAATAACCGCTTCGGCACAGAGTGGCTTGTCATTCTCGGCGCCGCGCTGTGCGGCATCTCAGCTGGCATCTTCTGGGCGAGCGAAGCGGCAATTGCGATTTCGTTCCCGGAACCTAGGAATCGAGGACGAATGATTGCGTACTGGATTACTTGGACCTGCATGGGACGCATCCTTGGTGGAGCCATCAACCTGGGTCTGAACCACGAGCAGGACAGGGCTGGAAAGGTTGGATACACCGTGTATCTGATCTTCATTGCGCTGCAATGCCTCGCTCCTTTTGTCGCGCTACTTCTGAACAAGCCGGAGAGGGTGCAGCGCTCGGACGGTGTGCCGGTGAAGCTGCAGATCTACGATAGCCCGTGGCAGGAGATCAAGGCGACGACGAAGACGTTCCTGAATAAGGAGTTCCTTCTCCTGGTCTTCTGGATTGGGCAAGGCGTGTACAGCGAAGCTGTGTACTACACCTACATCGCCCTTTGGTTCAGCGTGCGCGCTCGCTCTCTCGGCTCCTTCTTGTCCGGCGTCGTTGCCATCGTGGTTACTAACCTGCTCGGCGCGTGGCTCGACACACACAGTGTAGCGCTGAAGAAGCGAGCGCGGTGGGCTTTTGCAGTCATCATGGCTACGCAGGGCGCATGGTGGGTTTGGCTCACCATCAACGTTACACGATTTTCACAATCTGCTACGCTATACGACTGGGCAGACGAAGGATTTGGTCGTGCGTTCGCACCTTTCATCTTCCTCGTCGCAGGTTTTCAGCTGAACTACAACTTCGCCTTCTTCCTAATTGGCCGGATCTCCGAGAGCCCACAGGAAACGATCCGTCTTGCTGCGCTCCTGCGTGGAACGGAGTCAGCCTGGCAGGCGCTCAGTTACGGACTGAATGCGATTCCGATAATCGCCTCTGTAGGAGGAACGTACATCAACTTTGGCATCTGGGCACTGGCGCTGATTCCTGCATGGCTAGTGGTCAGGACCATTGGTGTTAGCAAGTACAATGACGAGGCTGACTTTGGGGTCGTCGAGAGGAGCAACGAAACCATCGGCGGAAAGGGCAGTTCGTGAAGGACACCGAAGTGGATTCTCATAGTCCATATCGGAAAAGCTATGTGTCTTCTCTTTCCAATCATCCCAATTGCACTTTGCAATGCTCAGTATACAAGGTATCTTACATGGTGACTGCCGGATAATGACAAAATTTACATGGCATCTGGGTCACCCTCTGAGGTAAGGAGACCAGCCTCCTGCAACTGGGCAAGAACACCCTTGTCCACTCTACCGATATGCTCGGCTCGCTTGCCAATGACAGTGAACGGCTTTAGTTCCACAAGCTTTCCCTCGACAACGGTGTCGTTCAGGGCGTCCACCGCGCGCTGCGCATCCTCCTTCGTCGAGAATTCGATGTGTGTCACAAATGTCTTGTGGCCTCGCCCGTCCTTCTTCCATACCGGGTGCACCGCACCTATTGCCTCCACGTTGAAGGGTTCGAAGGCCTTATTGATGACTTCACGTCTTTTGGCATTGACGGACATAGCCTCATCCACCTCGGGGACCCAGCCAGGGTTCTCAACGTACAATCTGTACCTTCGACCGTCCAGGACGCCCTGAATTGCCTGGGATGGAGTGGTAGCGTCATAGTAGAAGAATCTCTGGTGCTTTTTGAAACCGGAGTCCCAGTAGAATGTGTCCGACATCGGGGTGACTTTCAGGGTGCGCCCATTGACTTTCTGATTGTTCAACGCCTTAACGGCCTTGTCCACTTGCTCTTTGCTACCAAGCTCGATGAAGGCGGAAGTATCACTTTGGAAAGTAAAACGCTCGATTCGCATCTGGAGCTTCTTGCTGTTGATGGATCAGTACAGCACGTGACCTAGACTGCTTGATGTCATCAACATCTCGCCTCTGATCTACTCACATAGGACAGCCAGCGTTGCGAAGAAGTTGTTCGACATCAGCCGGGACAGTGTTCCAGGCCATTTTCGTAACGGCAATGGAGTGCGCATTGTTTCCAGGGGTCGCGTTGCAGATCGCCGTAAGAGGAGCCTCTCGCCCTGTAGCCGGCGCCTGAACAACTTCTTCCTGAATCCGCGCACTTGAGGAGAACTGGAGCTGCGGAGCTGCTGTGCTGACAAAGTGGAGTAACGAGCCAGCGGCGCGTCGGGTTGTGAAGCCCCTGGAAAGGGCGGTCCGACTCTGCGAGATGACTCTGGCTACGGACATATCGACGATTGAAATTGTGAATCTGGAGATCCGTTAATCGAGACCCGTTAATGGAGATCCGCACACGTCGACTCTTTGAATCAGTCAACAGGCCGCTGTTGTGTCGTTGATGCTTGCACTGAGAAAAAGTCCTGTCCACGAAAGTGCCAAGACACGCATATCGATAAGCAATGCGCTAAAGCACATTGACATGACATTTGGACAAGGAAACACCAATTCATCCAATCCTCATCGCTGCACCCGCTTTTGCATTTCCTCGGTCCTTGTATTGTATGGCGAAGATTTTGCTCAAAATGATTTTGGCATCCCGCCTGGTGCACCGGATTGCACTTGTTGATCGGCGGCTGGCCCTGTTCGTTTCTGCGTCAACGAGAGTTTACCCTGTCGCTAGTCGAGGCTCTAGCAGACGTGCTATACACGTCACTTCTTCTCAAGCTCAGGCTTCTCTTGAGCACTCCTCTGTTCACAACCCTCCCATTGATGATGTTCCCAGCTCGCAGTTACCGCCTCTCAAGGCTGACACACATTCTGAGTGGCGCCACCCTGTGGCTGGGTTTACAGCTCAAGAGGCCTCTCGAGTCATTTCTATCTACACATCTGTCCAAGCTACAGAGAGTGATCTGAAAGTCTTGCTTGAACGAGCAGGTCTATACAGGTAATTTCCGGTTGGGAATGGGTAGTATGACTGAACGCTCACGCAGCTCGCAGCGCACAAATCTTCAGAAACTACGATCTCGAGACGGCCAGACCACAAAACCTTTGTTACATAAAGTTAGAAGACCAGGAGGGTGTCGAAGCTGCTGTTGCTGCCCTGTCGCGATTCACCCTACTAGGCCTCTCGCTCGCGCCCAGGAAGTTCGAACTAGAAACGGCACCTCCTGCTTTTTTGCACGCTTTGCACACGGGTTGGTTGCCATCCCCATCGAGCGACCTCACGTCTCGGGTCGTCCGGCCTCCAATGACAGCGCCTCCCAATTTATTGGCACCATTGGCCAACGAGCAGTGGATTGTTGTCAAGCGCCTTGAGGTATTGAATCCAGACTTAAAGTCAAAGAATAAACCTGCTGTAAAAGCCGCCACGTTCGATGTGGCGCGCAACTTCTACACCTCGTTCCACAACTACGATGTCGTAGGCATCACGAGGCCATATAAACATCCAGTCCAGGGGTGGTGTTGCCGGATCTTGTTTGGGATCCCCAAGGATGCGCGTAAAGCGGCAGCGTTATGGAGGGAGGCCTACGAGAAGAAGCGCCAAGGAACGGCGAACGTTTATCGCGGCGGGCCTGACATACACAAGAAGCTCGTTGCATATCAGAAGTCGCTTCCTGAAGACACGCCTGCAGAGCAAATTCAGCATCTTCTGGAGATAGAGTACAGAAAGCTACGTCTCCGCAGGTCGAATACAGGTCAGCAACGACGACTCGACTACCCGACTCCGGAATCAGCTGTCGGACTCGAGGAGAACGCAGTCACATCGACGTAACTACACAGTCAAATCACCTGCGAAACGTCCCACAAAGTGGCGTTTATCTGGAGATAGTTCGAGCCATAATTCATCTTGTGGGTCTATCTAAGCCCTTGCCCTGAATTGCAACATCGGTCCATCCTTCTTACTCGCGAAAACATCCTGGATCTGGTACTCGGTTGCCCTTGTCCTGCCAACCTCCAGGTCTTTGTTACCAGCACCCAGTGTCGTCCCGGGAGCAAGCCTCAGATCATACAGATACAGCACGCGCGCGATGGTGACGGTCAACTCGACGTATGCCAGGCCCTTGCCAATGCATCCGCGGGGGCCGATACTGAATGGGTTGAAAGCAGACTGGGCGGCAGGCAAGCTGCCGTGCAGCGGGTTCGCAGAAGCGTCTGCGAGCCAGCGCTCTGGGATGTAGTCGAATGGCTGGGGATAGTATTTGGGGTTGTGGTGGATGGCGTAGATGGGCACACCGACATCGACACCCGCGGGAATGCGCCTGCCATCGATCTCCATGCCACCGGGGAGGACTTGACGAGGGAGAGCGCCGGCAACTGGCGGCGACATGCGCATCGTCTCATCGATGCAGGCCTTTAGGTATGTGCAGCTGCTCAGCTTCGGGCTGGTGACAATCTCCTCGACATCTGAGAAGGTCTCGCGGATCTCCTTGCACAGCTTCTCGAGGACCCTGGGGTTGTGCGCCAGATAGAACAGGGTGCCAGACATGGCAGTGGATGTGGTGTCGGAGCCCGCAATGATCAGCAGATTCGATTCGCCCCAGAGCTCGTTCATGGTGAAGCCCTCTCCGGTCTCCGCATCCTTGGCATTGAGCAGGTAGTAGAAAAAGTCCTTACGATCAGCCTCGAGACCGAGCTTCGTCCGCTCCATAGCCTGACCCTTGCTGTACTGCATGTACTGGGCGCGCTGGCCAGCAATCTTGCGGAAGAAAAGCTTATCGAGGTGCCAGTTGTGGATGGTGAGATGGGTACCACACTGCTTCGTCAGTCCAACGTCGATTGCATCAACCGAGCCGTACTCACGATCAAATGCCTGTGCGCTGCGTTCCCCACCAGCTGCGTCGCAAAGCGATTCCGCGGGCTCTCGAGCATGCCAAAGGCCTTGCCAAACACCAAATCACCCATGATATCGAAGACCAACCACTCGCACCAATGCGCCGCGTTCCAGTTCGCATTCCAGCCCGCATTCCAGCCCTGCGCACCGCTCTTCTCCTCGACCGCGCCTTCGTCCCCGCCGCTGCGCCGACCCAGCAGTTCACAGCCCACGCGGACATTAGCGAGGATATACTTCTCGAGAGTGCGAATCGCGCTGTCGCTGAAGGCGCTGCTCATGACCCTCCTCTTGCGCGCATGCTGCATCTTGTCGATGGCCGAGTGCACGCTCACAGCGGCGGGGGTGGAGGGGAACGCCTTGTAGAAATCGGCCTTTTTGACATTGGCGCGGAAGCCGTAGACGGCCTTGAGTCCTGTGGCGGTGTTGACGGACAGCAGGTTCGGGCCCAGCCGCACGTACGGCCCGAACTGGGCGTGAGCGTTGTGGAACGCCAGGTGCCGCGAGCCGCGGTAGGCGTAGTAGGCCAGCCAGATGTCTGTGATCTTGGCGAGGAAGGGGCCCGGGTAGTGCGCGAGCGGGTGCAGGGTCAGGCGGTAGAGGATGACGGCGAGGATCTGGGGGAGTTAGTCGAGCAATGCGTTCGAGTCCAGTCGGCTCGCGAGCGTACGTAGAGTGTCAGACCGCCGAGGACGGTGGCTAGCAGGAGCAGCGGGGAGGTCAGGAGCGACCAGGCGAGGCTGAAGAGCTCCATGGTGTAGTTGCAGGCGAAGACGAAGACAAGGCCAGAGTCGAGTTCGAAGACAGTACCAGAGACGAGTTCGAAGACAGTGCCAGAGACGAGTTTGAAGACAGTGCCAGAGACGAGTTTGAAGACAATGCCAGAGACGAGTTTGAAGACAATGCCAGATACGAGTTTGAAGATAATGCCAGAGTCGAGTTCGAAGACAATGCCAGAGACGAGTTCAAGACCAATTCCCAAAGCTCAATCTACGATAATAATCTCCAGTCCATCAACACGTAGCAAATCCAAGTCTTTAAGCATCGGCAGGAGCAGCAGCAGCGCTGTACTTAAACCGCCCTCCCTTCCAGCTTCCCACCGCCATCCGCGCCCGCACCCGCGAAACAAAAAATCTCTCCGTGCATCACATCGCAGCGCGGACAGTGCAGCATCGCAGCGCGGACAGTGCAGGTATACGAGTGCTGACAGCGGGTAGGCGCGGCACCCGCAGGCAGGTCTCACGTGCGCAGACCAAGGGCGGGGCGGGGCGGATACCGACGCCGCGCGCGCGGGTATTGGCGCGGGTTCTGGCGCGGAATGGGCCGGGGCCGGGAGTGTGCGCGTACGCGAGGATGCACACGTGCGTGACGATTGTGCGCGGATTGCGCGCGTTGGTTGCTACATGGCGGGACCGCGTCGTGCTGGAGCTCGACGCGAGTGCATCACGACGGCGCGGGGCCTCCGCAAAAGGTGAGCTTAGATGGACACGTGAATTGCACAAATCTACAGAAACAACTACAAGAATCGAAATCCCCTCGGCGTTTAGACATGTGCTGCTGCGCTATGTATCAATGAGCGGCTCCAGCGGCAGCGGCTTCTCCGGCAGCGGCTTGGTGGGCAGCGGCTTCATCCTCTCGTGCGTCGACGCCGGGCTGGGGCGCGGGGTGTCGTCGTAGCTGTCCCTGTAGTCGCCCTGCCAGGCGCCGCTGAAGCTGGACTGCGAACTGGCCCCGGAGATGGCGCTTCCGTCCCACCGATCCTGCTCCGTTCGGTCCCTGCGGTCCCAGTCCCCCCCATGCCCGTCCCCGCCCTGGTTGAGCTGGCTGTACACGGCATCGATACCCTTCCAGCGCGCGAGGCTGCGCTGCTGCTTGGCAAACAGCCACGCACTCTGCACGACGCGCAGGGCGATGAAGCCGCCGACGACGCTGCCGACGACGATGAAGAACAGCCCCACAAAGTTGGAGTGGAACACGTCGCCCACCCAGTTCCGCAGCGTGCCTCGCTTGCCCCACGCACCCCACTCTTCGCTCAGGTACACCAGCTCGCCGTCGGCCTTCCACACGTCGCCGCCGAAGAAGCGCGTCACCGTGCCGAAGAAGCCGAGGTGCTGCGGGGGGAAGTCGAAGCGCCGCGCGACGTGCTCGACCTTTGTGATCTCGAGCGAGTACATCTCGTCGGCCCGCACGGGCGCGAACAGGCCCCCGTCGTCCTCGTTGTGCGGGCGGTGCCTGTTGCCGCGCTTGACGGGCTGGCCGGCGACGACAATGTGCAGCGCGCGGCGGGCCGGGTCGTCGAGCTTCCAGGCCGCCGAGACACCGCTCGCGTGCGGGGTGCCGGACAGGCTGCGGCCGCCGACGGGGGCGAAGACGATGTCCCAGAAGCGGATCTGGGCGTCGGCCTCTTCGCGCTGCGTGTGTGCCGAGTACGAGTAGTCGGCGGCCATGCGGGCGAGCGGCAGCGACTGGCACCAGGCGATGCAGTCGCTGCCTGTCGTCGGCTGGGAGCACGTCGGGTCCGAGCACGTCGTCGCGGCCGTCAGGTTGGCGTAGGAAAAGTCCGGGTGCAGCAGCGGGACGGCCAGGTGCGGCGGGTTCGGGATGGTTCGGAGGACGGGGAAGATCTTGTGGCCGTTGAGCAGCACGGAGCGCGAGTCGCTGGCGAGGCTGACGTTGAAGAACTGCGTGGGCCATGTCAGCAGCGTCCTCGATGTTGATGTCGTCACTGCCGACGACGGCGGAGTGCTTACGAGTTCCTGGTCGCCGTGCGCCATCCTGCTCTCCGACAGCCCGCCATCCGAGCCCACATGGGACGTCTCCGCGTACGGACAGTCCTTGCACGCAATCGTGGTCAAGTAGCGTTGGCCCGGTGCAACCTCGACGACGGCAGCCATCTTCTGCGCGCATTTCTCGCCATCGGCGTCGGCCGTGGTGCAGCTCGAAAAGTCAAAGTCCCCCTGCGCCGCCGCAGCAGAGAGGAGCAGCGGAGCGAGCGACAGCCCAAGAAGGCGCATCTTGTGCGGATTGTGGGTGTTGAGGAGCGCGGCTGAGGCCTGGCCGATCGCCAGGGGCCTAGCGTGGGGTCTACTTCGTACAGTAAAATTTAGCGTGGCAGGGTCTGGTTTATCGATTGCAGGTCTGGGTTATCGATTGCAGGCCTGGCTTATCGATTGCAGGCCTGGCTTATCGATTGCAGGTCTGGCTTATCGATTGCAGGTCTGGCTTATCGATTGCAAGTCTGGTTTATCGATTGCAGGTCTGGCTTATCGATTGCAAGTCTGGTTTATCTGTCACTGCCTTCGGCTTCAAGTCTGAACAAATGTCTTGCACTCCAACATCAACATCGCAAGGCGCACTCGAGTGCCACCGGTGGACGATGACAGACATGGTCGTCGAATGACAGCATCTCGTGGGCGCCTCTCATGCTCCGCCCCGCTTGGCTGCCCGCCTGGCTGCCCGCCTGGCCACTCTCAAGTTCTCTGCTGCACGATATGTTTGTTGCATTCCTCGACAGACATCCGTCACATCCGCAATTCACATTGATCTGCAGTGCGTCGTGATCCCACCGTGACAAAATCGTCAACATGGCCGCCGCCCAGGAGCCCACCCACCCCCCACCCCCGCAGGAGACCGACACAGAACGAGCCACCGTCGCCGAGACGATCGCCTACGCCCGCCGCACGTACAAAGGCAGCCATCCTGACGCGAAGACCTTTGAGCCCGAGACGTACGTCTGAGAGCCCTCTGCTGCTCTGCGTTTGAGGTGCTGATCCGGCTAGCAACGGCGGCATCAAGAGGTTCTTGAACAACGTCGCCCACACGCTGACTGCCAACCGCTATGGCGGGTCGTAGAGCGGGAGACAAGGGGATAAATGCTTTGCTCTGCTCGTGCTTGCGTCGACATTGTGCTGGGCTAGTAGTGATGAAATACTCGTACATGTTACTCTGAACAACTGCGCAGTCGCCCCTTCTCTCCGCCCCGCCCCATCTCTTCTCTCCGCCCCATCTCTTCTCTCCGCCCCATCTCTTCTCTCCGCCCCGCTCCATCTCTTCTGTGACGGTTAAGAGGAGAAGCGGATCACGTGTTGTTGGCGGTGGTCTGGTGCTACTTCCTCATGTTGAGCACCTCTTACCTCAGCGGCATCACAAACACGTCATCAAAACAGACCCCGCAGCGAGCCTTGGAGAGGTAAGACACAAGCAGAACAAGAACAGAGAACACAATACACTCGTTTACATTTGCCCTTAATACCGCAACATCTTCTCTCCGCCCCTCACTCTGATCTAACTCACAGTGAGTGACTCGCAGCGCCCCACTCGACATAGCCCGCGAATCCAGACAACTGACGCAGATGCAATTGACCAAGAGAGGCTCACCAGGCCAGACAGTCGCTGCTCATGGGGCCTGTCGCGCCCGGAACCGCTTCTTGGCAAGCCTCTTTGTCGAGGGGGAGTTTACATGGGCCGCCTACCCAATCCGATTCATACCAGCTTGTATGGCTAGCATGATCGGTACCCTGGCCTGGTGCTGGGTCACGCATGGATGGCAGCCGCGGACGCGCACACCCGCCGACCAGGCTGTGTGGTGCAGAAGCAGCGAGACTGAGGATCTGTTGCTTGTGAAGAAGCGTCTTTGGGCCGAGTGAGTGTGCTGGACCCTTGTGACGTCAGTCACTAGTCACGCCACACCTTGTCCACCTCATACTCTCAATAGTCGTTCGTAGCTGTGACACTCCTTCCGCCAACACAGCACCCTGCAATCTACAGCCATACAACTTATAGCCCCCACCCAAGTCCTCCTTCGATACCACACACACACACACACACACACACCATACACACACAATACACACACACCATACACACACAATACACACACAATACACACACAATACACACACAATACACACACACCACACACACCATGCCCTCCTCATTCTCCTCGCAAACCTTCTCCTCAAGCTCGTCCTCGATAAACGGCCGCACCACCTCGCGCACACAGTCCACGTACAGCGATGCAAGCGGCACGCGCGTGCACCAGACGACCCGCGAACCGGGCCGCGCGCCGCGCGAGGAGCGGTTCGAGCTCGGTAGTGATGGGAGGAGGCTTGCAGACGGCAACTCGGGGCGGATTACGGACGTGAGCGATGTGGAGGAGAAGGAGGAGAAGGAGGCGAGGGAGAGGGAGAACGATAGACTGTATGAGGAGAGAATCGAGGAGGAGTATGCCAAGCGAGAGGGCGGTGCGTGAGGGCGGTGCAGGGGGGTGTGCACGCGCAGGGTAACGGATCACGAGACTGGTTAATGCTAGGAAATTTCACTCCTGCGGCTTCTCTTCTCTTCCCTTTGCTTGTCTTCTCCTCCTTTGCTTGTATTCTCCTCCTTTGCTTCTCTTCTCTTCCCTTTGCTTCCCTTCTCTTCCCTTTGCTTCCCTTCTCTTGGCTCTGCTTCGCTCGCTTCGCTCGCCTACGGCTTCCCCGCCCACGCCTTGGTGAGATACTCCTCGGCGCTGGCAAACTTGTAGTCCGGGAACCGCTGGTTCCACTCATCGCTCACGTCCCACGAGCCGTTCAGAATGCCCACCAGGAACATGACAACGAAGCCCTTGCTCCACTCCTCGCGCTGCTCGACGGGGATAACAGGGTGCTCCACCCGCGGCACCCACGTCGTCTTCAGCTCACCCTTCAGCACGTCCTCGCCCCGCACGTGCTCGATCGTCCACTCGCCGCCCCTGATCTTCTTCCCCAGCGCCACCAGCTCGTTGAGGCTGGTCCTGCACCCGCGCACGCCGCCGACCGCCGGCCAGGGCCGCGGGTCCTCGAGCGCGCGGGCCAGGATCTCCGAGTCGTCAGCGATGGCAGTGACGACGATGGGCTGGTCGCCGTCGTCGAGCACGATGGCACGGCGGCTCTCGAAGTCGATGAAGAACGGCCACGTGATCAGCCCCGGGCTGAGCGTGTGCGGGTTCGCAAAGTAGTCGAGGAAGATGCTCGGCTGGAACAGGCAGTATTCCAGCACCGTCTTTTCCTTGTTCAGCTCCGCCAGGTACTCGGCGATGAAGTCCTTGTTCACGTACGGCGGCGCGCCTGAGCCGTTCTTGATGCCCCACTCTGACGGTGCGAAGCGCTTCACGCCTGCTGCCTGGCACGCTGCGATCAGGTTGCGTTGCGCCGTGCTGTCTGTGTCGAGGTGCACAATCAGGAACGAGAGGCATACGTCGACGCCTTGCAGCGCCGCCGTCAGCTCGCCCACGTCGGCGTAGTCGACTTTCTGGTAGCGCACGCCGGGGACGGGTGTCGAGGGCGCGCCGGAGCGGGTGAAGATGGTGACGTCGTGTTTCCCGGTGCGGATGGGCGCGCGGAGCAGCTCTGTCGCAACATCTGGGCTCGTTAGTCTGGTGCTGAAGAGGACGACACCGGCGAGGGAGAAGGATAGTGGGGTAGCTGCGCGGGGTATGCACATACTGCCTGTGCCGCCTGCGACTGCGATCTTGACCATTGTGAATGTTTTTGCTTGCTGTGAGGTTCGATTGCAGTTCGAAACTCGAGTGCTCGGAAACAAACCTCGGCTGCACTCGCGTCGTCGCTTTATATCATCCTGGGGGCTTCACCGCCCGGAGACTGGCGCCCTCGGGCCGAATGCATAGCAAGGTGCTCCACGCGCCCCAGGGTGCTTCGATGCTGCGTCTCTGCTGGATGTGGGGTCCGCGATGTGCACGGAGATACGTCGCGGGGCTTGCGGAGTTAGTGTGGGGCGGAATGGTGTGGATGATTCGTACGAGGCTCATGTGTATGGCAGGCTCTCATGTCGTGGACCAGACTGGGAACAGTCTGAATAGAGGGTCCTCAAGGAGAATACGTATGAGATCTGTGAGCCGATGGAGCTTCCGGACACTGTAATAAAAGTGTTGTATTACAACTTTCTCTGCGACATGGATGATGAGAGGTAGACTTGAGGTCGCCAAACAACGAGTGTAGCAGTGGATGTGGACCAATCGCAACGGACGATCGGCTCGGACGCCTTTTCGGACTCTGGGCTTGGACCAAAGCCTAACAGCCTGCAGGGCCTGTTTGGAGGACATAAGCGTGATAGCCTACAGGTATTGCCGGCTCGGCTTGGCAGAGGAGTTCGATCACTTGTCTCTCATCTGGTCGAATCATGCCAGCATCTGCCAGCTTCACCGACATATGACAGCACCAAGACGACGTTTTGCAACACAATAAGATGGCGGAAAGATTAGCAGGCCTGCAGGATCTTCTATTTCGACGCTGATGCAAAGCTACCCGAGCGGACAGAACAAGTATATACAAGAACTCAATGTCTCTAGCGGAGACCTCTCAACTTCACCCTGGATCATCTCGCCTAAGAGATGAAGTAAGACTTGATCTTGGGCAGGATGTTTACCCACGCAACGCCAGTGCTGGGCTCCATGTTGAAAATGTAGTCACCCCACCACGGACCAGCAGCCCACCACAAAGCACCGGTCCAGACATCCGAGTTCTGCGCAAGGTACGTAAGACCATCCTGGAGTGCCGAAATGCATTGAGTGTTGTTGCCACCAGCGAACTCGCCGATAAGACCCAGCTTCTTGTTGTCCTTGAGCCACTGAGTCGCAGCCTGGAGTCGCTCCTTGAAGATAGTGGCCGAGACACAGGTTGTAGAAGTACCAGAGCCGTCCGAGTCGAGGTACTGGTGCATCTGGTAGATGAGCTTGTCCTGGGGATCCTTGAGGTTGACGAGCGAGGCTCCGTTACCCGAGCTGATCCACGTCCACGCGCCGCTCCACGAGTTGCCCTCGGGGGTGATGTACTGCTTTGTGGCGCCCGCAGCGCGGATGCCGTCGATCGAGGCCTGGTTCAGGTTGAATACGAGCGTCTGGTCCATGTCATGGTACTCGTTGTTGGTGTCGAACATGACGAGCGCGTTGTCCTTGTACTGCGCGGCGACGTTCTGCCACCACGTCTTGAAGCCAGCGGTGTCGTTGATGATGTTTCCATAGAAGCGGCCGTAGTTGTGCGGCTGGATCATGGCGTATGCGCCCTTGCCGGTGATGTAGTTGACCTGCTGGGTCAAGTTGCCGAGATAGGCCTGGTCAAAGGCACCAGTCAAGGTGTTGGGTGTAAGGCGCTCCATCACTGTGATATGTAAGCGCGGTCTGTGCTAGCTTTGACGCAAGACTTACAGAAGTTCAAGCGGAACATGTTCATGCCCTGACCGATGAACTGGTCGATGGTGTTGGTGTCGTACCATATGTAGTCCTTGTTGTAGACACCAGGGAAGTTCTTCTCGCCGAACTCAGCACCAGATTCGTTGATGCCGAAGAACTGGAGCTTTCGGCTTGCGCGGGTCTCCTTGTTGGAAGGAGCAGCGAAGGCGGTGCTGACCAGAGCGGCCGCCGCAAACATGTTGCTGAAGAGCATGGCGAATGTAAGAGAGCGAAGGAATGCAATTAAGGAGTCTGAAGCCGCCTTGGCTCTCGAGAAGTGTGTGTTGACTGCACTTTTATATAGATTCAAAATCTAAAACCACTGCAAATTGTCAGTGGTTAGTAACCACTGACAATTTGCAGTAGGGCATGACGGACCGTAGCTTCCGATCTATCAAGGGATCATGTCAGAACACCCATTATGTGATACGCACTTCGCTCGAAACGGTACCGACAATCTGAAATCAAGCCTGGTGGCTATGCGTAAATTGTTCAAGAGTATTAAGGAATGCTTGATGTGGGTCAAGTGTTTATGGCAAAGCGGGGAAGCTGGGATAGCCATGCACTTCAATGCGGAACATCAGCACCGGCTCTTCGCTTGAAACACGCAACAGCCGACATCATCGTGCAGACATCTGCAAAGAACGTCAGTGGTCATTCTGAAACACGCCCACGAGGCTTCGAACCAGCCAATAAGAGTTGCATGTATGTGCTCGGACGCTAACCAAATCCTCGTTGCGATGGGGCTTGCCGTTGTCACCTGCAGTCGGTAAATTGTAAATTCTCCTAAACCTTCACCAATCACGATGGGTGGGTCATCTAATAAAGTGCTTTCCTATGGGAAGTCGGCATCGCAATCTAGAGATGAGCTCCGCACTCAAAGAGGACAAGTGGATCGACCGCAAATCAAGCTTTGTGGTTCACGATGTTGTCGAAGACCCCTGTGGGAGTTTGAGGTCAGCCGTTGATCGGGGAGCAGCTTGCCAATTGACTTACTTAGGAATAACCATGCAGCGCTGTGCTTTTGTGGCATATATTTGGAGTTGGACAGCATTGTTTATAGATCGAACGATTCGCCACTCTACTGTATTGCCCGAATACATTACAAAGCAACGCTGACATGAAACAACATACTCACAGATGCCTAACACATGACTCTCGACTCACCGCCTGACGCTGCGCCGCTCGACACGTGAAAACGGGTTGGCGTAAGCAGGATCGAAAGTAGTGCGCTGTGCTCTGCCGAATGTTTGACGACTACTCCTCACGCCTGTACGTTGTAGCAATTCCCATTGGTGTCGATTGCGTACGGGAGAGTAACGCGAGATAGCAGACGGCATGGTTGATGGGAGCTGCCCGATCCGAGAAGGAGGGGCTTGATTGGAAGGAAGGGAAAGCGGTGTTTGCGACTGTGCCAGCACTCGTTGCTGCCGAAGGGACGTGGGTTTGATGGTAGAGTTGTAACCACTATCATGGACAAAACAAATGCGTTGGGCATCTGGGTCTGAAACTTGGTCGTCTCCACGGTTTTGTGAGGACATGTGTTGCGATGATTGTCGGTAAGTCTTGTGCGTGATAGGTTCATTCCGTGCGCCGAGAGGTGCGTCAAAGAACGACAGGCTGTTGAGACTGGGTGGCTCACGCCATCCGAATGTTGCCTGAGAAGTCGGGCACTTCTGTAACCGAGAGACGGCGGAATGATGTGAACTGGGGTAGGTTTCAGCGATCCAGGGCTGTGATCGAGGAGGCACGTCGGGATGACTACGCCCGAAGAAGGGACTACTTACGACGTTCTGAACGCGACGAACAGGTTGCTGAGGCTGAGGTAGAGCTGGAGTCGCAACATTTGTGGACGGGTCGTAGTGTGTTCTGCTGAAGAAGCCCTTGGATCTAGCCTGCGGTGATGTGCGTTGTTGGTCATTTGGCCGCGGTGGTGCATTCGGCGACTGATGAAGGAATGCATGGCCCAATCGCCAATGTTGCTGGCCATTCATCTCGTGAGCTTGACGCTGGTTCTGGGGGGTTCTGATTGGTGGGCGCATGGTGTCGTTCAGCGCAGAACGACTTGAACGGTTCTCACGCGGGTCTTTGAGGCCTAGCTCGACGCCGTTGTCGCGCGACAAGCCATCCATTAGATGGAGATATGACGGTTCTGTGGGCATTTGCACAGGATGCTGCTCGCTTCTCCCGCTGTTTATCTTGACAGGTGACGATGCACGAAAAGAGAACTCAGATGCGTCAGTCTGCTGTCCTAAGTTTGCAATTAGGCGCGAGCCCTGTGGTATTTGCTCGTGTGGCAAGGCCCCTGGCATGTAAGGCGGCTCACTGCGCAAGTCATCTTGTGTTGAGGATAGATTATCCTGGTTGTAAGGACCCGCCTCATCTCGCCATTGTGTACTGTCGTACATCTGTACGTCGCCGTTGTTCTTCTGTTGCTCCTTTGGCGATGAACGGCTACTTGATAACTTCTTGCGTATCGTAGGGAAGAAGCTCTTAACTGAGCGCATCCTCGACATAGGCTTAGATGGCGGTGGCATCATGTCGCGACTCCTTGACAGGTCGATGTGCATGTCCCGTGGAAGAGGAGAGTCGACTCTCTGACGCTTCAGCGGGCGGTCGCTGGATGTAAAAGGGTGGCCCGAGGTGTGCGCCGAGCGCCCGGCGGTATGGGTCGAAGATGACTTCTGGAACTGCCTATCGTCTTCAGCATAGGCTTCAGCAATGCTGCCGATATCGTTCAGGTCGTCTGATGTCAGCTGTGTGTGATTGGGAATCGGCTCAACAGCCATCGCGAAACCAAGCGAAGAGAGACGCTCTTTCATCTTGGTGTTTTGCCTGATCAGCATCAGCACTATGCCATATGAGTGCAACACTGACGAAACTTACTCAACAACCTTGGGCAGCAGCTTCATGTACTGGAGTATGGCAGCCTTGTTTTTGCGAAAAATCCCCAGGTCACGCACATCAGTCTTCAGACGGCGAAATGCTTCTAGATCAGTATTGAACTGCTCCATATCCTGCTCGAGACGATGCAGTCGCTGCACTTCTGCTCTAAGCGCATCCACCTCGCTAGCCTGCTGTGCAGCAGCTTGCAGCAGCTCATTCTCACGCTGCAATGATACAACTCTCGAATACTCTTCTGCAGCGCGGCTCTGCATCGTAACTAGCTGCTGCTTTGTACTCTTCAACGCATCGGTGAGCGGCTTCCGTGTTCGATACGATACCGTGCAGTAGCGTGCAAGTGACAGGTATTGGAACTGTATCTGTCAGCTTCAGTCGCCGAGCGACTTTGAGATGGCAACTTACGCGCAGAGCCTCGATCTCTTTCGTAGAACCGTCGAGTTTCATAGGCGGCGCGGTAAACCAGATCGATGGTATCTGAGGGTCGTACTCGTCCTTGCCAAAACCGCGTACCGAATACAGATCGCGCAAGGTAGCGTCGCCGTTCTCTTGGACACACCATGGACATGATGCGCGAGGCTTTTGTCCTGCAGGGTGAAAAGGGGGGCCTTGTATGGCGATCTGATCAGATATAATCACGTAGCAGCTACCGAAGACACTCACCACCGCCTTCAATATGCTCGCCGCAGAAGACATGGCAGCAATTGCTAAGGTACAACTTCGTGACAACGCGATCTTTGGGATTGATGCCATCCGAAAGACCCTGGACTGTTTCGTTGTGACCATCATAGGTATCGGCAAACGTAGCGCAGCAAATGGAACAAGCGTAGATGAAGTTGCGCGGATCGCTCTCGGGTTTCTGCGAAGAAGGGGACGTCTCTGACTCCATGGCAGCCATCGAAACGACACTGCTGGGCGGAGAAGATGGACGTGTAGGTGGAGGTGAGGGGGCGCAAAAGCAGAAGTCGCGGTGCAGGTGACGCCAAGCCAAAGTCTGCGCGCACCCGCCCACTAAAGTGAAGGCTCGTGACAGCACCTAGCCTATGACAAAAGCAATGATTTAGTGAAGCGATCTCAAAAATGGACGGACGGATGAAGCACAAGAAACGGCGAATTAAAACATCAAGCAGATGGACGGATACTAGCGTAACAGAGGGCAATGTAGACGGAAAATGTTTTGACATGACATCACACAAAGAAAACGCTGTGGTCGTATTTACAGATACTCCTATCGTCCTCCACGCGTGTGGGTAAACCTCCAACGCATGGCTTATGCGAACGTCCTGCAAGGGTAGCTGTGGAGATGTTAGTCTCTGCTCACAATGGTCGTCGGATAGCAAGCCCGCATACTTTTCGCCGTATGACTGATCCTTCTCTAAATCGTAGGCCTTGTGGCCAGACTCGCTGATGTGCTGAGGCGGGGGCAGAGGTGGCATGCCGCCAGGCCCGAGCACATCCTTTGCCAGGCCAGTGTTCCTCTCGAATGCAACAGCCAGACCCTTGGCACCCTCCTCTTGCGCAGCAACAAGCTGCTTGGAGCCGGCCTCGCCAATCAGCTCCTGCTTGGGCGCCGCAGCGCTGCCAACCTGAAGCAGCGCAACAGCGTCGGCCTGGGTGACTGTTGACAGCCTTGGGTATCGTCGTCGCACGTCGCGCTTCCAGTATGGGTTATCAGCGATGTCGGCGGCGGGGATCGTAACGGGATCGTCGTAGGTAGCAGGGTCAAGGCCACCGGGGGGAGGGTTGCGGAATTGCGGGTTCATGGGAATACCGGTCGAGCGCTTCGGGTCGAGCGCGAAGAGCCTATTAATCGCCGCATAGATGCCAGTAGGCTGAACTGTGTACTTCTGTACATGCCGTTAGTAAACCGCTCGTAGGTCTTGGGTGAGGTGCAGCGGGAGGGGTGCTGGCAGAGGGAGATGCGCGCGAGGAGTCGTAAGAGCGTACCGAGAACGCGGTGGTGACTTTCTTGGACGCCATTTTGAGCGGCCGAGTATCGATCACGATTTTGAGGAGTGGAGAGGGGCCAATGGGCGGATCTGCTGGTGCTGCGCGCGATATGGCGTCGTCGTGAAGCTCGATGATGGTCGTGAAGCTCGAATGCAACTGCCAAGGCGGCACTTGCCGGGATGGGTAAGCGCCCCTGCGCGCCTTCTCATTCGCTACGGCCCCGACCATCATCAGCATTTCTGGCTACCATCTCGATAGGCTCAAGTTCGATAAGAATAGCAAGCAGTGCATCGCCGACTTGCCCAAGACTAACAGCATTATCGATCTCCGTCTCGACACTTCAATGTGGTACGAACGCAAGCCTGGACCGGATGATTTTGGCGAGGTACCTGAACGTCTAGCACAAGACAGGCATGAGAGTATCCTGCGATGACTGCATACCCATCTCGCAGCCAGGAGCTCATTGAAAAGCGAATCAGCTTGTTGATATCTAGAAGTGCGATTTTACATGATCTCGAGCCAAGTAAACTCACACAGCCTAGTCAAAGTGACCCACCTTGAAAGGCCGATACTTAGCTTTCTTGATTGCAACATTGACCTGGCCTACGTTTCCGCTCACTTGCGCAGTAAGATGCCCAATTCAGGAATACTAAGGGAGCTGCCTCTTTCTACCTCTTTCGTTCACCCTAAAGTTCTTCGATCCGACGTAAAGTCGCACTTAGAACATGTTTCTCTTGGATGTCAGCTCCAACCACACATACGATGACGATGACTACATCACACACAGCTTGGTGAAATACGATCATGGTCATGAGCTCTGCAAGACCGCCGGCAAGAGAAAAATTATCGTTGATCGTAAAGGCCTCGGGCCCAAGAAATACCCTAAAGTCCCAGACCGCTGCCCGAAGGCTCTCGTCGTCGTCGTCATCTACTACCTGAACTCGTTGTAGTGCCGAGTCCAGCCCTCGCCTCACGCTAAGCGAGCAGCCTCACCCCACCGAGCAAAGCGGGCGGGGGTGGCTGGGTCGACGGCCTCCAAAGTCTGGTCATCAGTCGGTACTAGTCCTCTGTATAAGAGTGGGAGAACGAAACGTGACTCACATTGCAGTACTCGACGGCCTGGATGTTAGCCCACGCCAGCGTCGGCTCTCGCCCGGCGACGACCGCGTTCAGGTAGTCGTAGTGGGCGTCGTACCAGTACTTCTCGCCCCATTCGACGAACAAGAGGGCGATGAGAGGTGGGGGCGGCGGAGTGGTGGTGTCCTCCGTAGAGGGGACAGGAATGTGAGGTGGTGGCGAGGGGATGGCCGCCGCCGAGAGAGGCGGGTTGGCAAGACCCAGGGTGGAGGAGGAGGAGATGGAGGAGGATAGCCTGCGTCGAAGACTACTGTAGCTTGAGAGCTTGCAATGGAGACGCGACGGCGTGACTTGCTCCAATCTCAAAGTGCAGCAAGCCTGAGCGACCTTGTAATATGCTAGGTGACTGTCCGAGTTGCGGTTTGGATCGTTTCGTAGAGCTCAAAGCCCTTGTGTATGCCCACGGGTATCCTGAGGATGTGCTCGAAGCTTGGCTGCAAGCACGAATTTGCTCCTCAGCTCGAAGTTGCTTGCGAAGGCCAGAGCCGGAAAGCTGTAATCTTTGTGTGTTGAAGTTTCGACGAGCTTAGCTTGAAGCTTATGATGGACTCTGTAGGGCTCTTGAGGCGGCTCTGGTGACTCTCACCTTGATGTGCTTGTTTGGTGCCCCTTCTCGCCGCCGCACGCAGAGTTTGCGCGAACACCAACAACACCTACATCATCACACAAGATGTCTGCCTTCGAAATAATCGCAGAGCCTTGGATGACCCTCTTTGCGGTCCTTTCGGCCGTCTTCCTCGTAAGTGACCTCACTGAATCACTCCTGGCATCCACGAGCTGTCCACAGGGGCAGCACGGAGGGGAAGTAGAGGCCTTCGGTCCCAGGCTCTCTACAACCTTCTCTATAGCCTTACATGGCTTTCATGGATACTGACAGTAATGTAGGTGCATCTGTGGATGCTAGACGGCCTGGGAGCTGCCCTTGAGCCTTGGGTCGGCGTCGTCGAGTGGACCGGCATGCGTGCGGTCTTCTTCGATGGCGTCGACCGCAGGGCCGAGCTCGCAATCCTACGCTGATGTGCCTGTGAGGCTACCCCGGCTGGCTTTGCCGGCATGAACGAGAAGAGAAGACTGGGTGAGGGGAGCCTGGCCCGCGCAAGAGGTTGGGAAAAGCGGCGACAAGACCCAGGTATGCAGCACCATAACCCATCATCTCCATGTTGAGAGGTCCAGACAGCGTTGAAGGACTTTGATACAAATCATGAGGGCTCCTTCTCTTCTCTTGACACGATGCTGACTTGACTGCATAGGAGGGTGTAAGCTTCCCTGCCTAAGCCGCTGGCTGTCACCATTCATTACGCTCACCCCCGCGGACGATCACGACCCTTCGAACCTCCCTCATCAAATATAACCACAGGAACGACGAGCTGTGCTGATGCAGAAAAAGAGAACAGAAGTCTGGGAAGAATCAGTCGACGTTCAAACCTCGGAGCATCCTTCCGCGAAGCGAAGCGGGGCTGGCGGCAGGAACCCTCAACCAACGAACGAGACCTTCCCTCGGACTAATCCATCTCTTCCTCATCAATAATCATCCTGCTACGTCCTCAAAAGGGATCGTCATCGCCTCGAGCACCCGCTTGGAAAAGACTAGGAGCTACAAGCGTCAGCAGACCGCCATCACAGTTGTTGGCCCATGACATCGCACGACACATACCTCAACACCACGAGAAATATGCACACCCAAGACGGTACAGGGGCTGAAAGCTTGAATGAGATAGGTTTGGTAGTAGAACAAGCTTTCATGACCTTGTATTTGATTTCCGAGAACCTTGAATACCGCAACATCGTACATCAACGTCGTTACAAGCACCAGCACCGTACAAAATGAAGGCGGGGATCGCCTCCATATCCACATATCCTCATATTCCTCTCCTACCGATATCGTCGCTATTGGCGCCACCTTTCCAACGCACCATCCCCCATGACCACCGCCTCCACCCAAACTGGAGTTCCAGATCTCTGCAAGGAGCTTGCGCTTGGTATAGTCATTGGAGTCACCAGAGCACGCAATATCGTTCTGATCAATTATCATGTTGGGCGCTCTCATATCTGAACATCACTCAGCTTTGTGTTGTATCGCTGGTTGGCATCGATCCGGGGGACATTCATGGGCAGGTAAACGGGAGAGCCGCTGATCTTGGCGGCAGAGTCGTATCGAAATGGGTGATCCTACCCTAAAAAAGATCCGGAAAGAGCCTACGTTATAGGCAGATTGCGCTGCCCGCGCCCCCGAAAAGGTTGATGGCGTCTCTGAAGGAGCCGGCTATGGGTTGACATTCTGCTGTTGGCTGTGCGACGTTGATGTCCACTAGGGAGCCGGTTCCTGGCAACGAGACGCTCGGCAAAGCAGATGCTGTCGCGATGAGTGACGCTGGCGGCTAGGCTGAGGCGCAGGCTATCAGGATCTCGCGGTGGGGAAGAAGCATCTGGCTTATAGTGTAGGCGTCTGGGATGGTCTGCACGAGACCCTGCGTCCTCTTGAGTGTTGTGAGAGGAAAGTCATTGGCGGAGGACATGGAGGGCTGGGGAGATGAGCTGGTGCTGATATGCATGGGCGCCTGACGGCAAATGGCCGAAGGAGATAGTTGAGATCATTCGGTCTGATGGAGCTTCATTCGGTCTGATGGAGCTTCATTCGGTCTGATTACTAGCTCTAACACACCAAATGAAGCTCCATCAGACCGAATGATCTCAACTATCTCCTTCGGCCGGATAGCACTATCACACCGAGCGATCTCAACTCCAGGTGCCGCAAGTGCTGCGGTGCAGGCCTGACGAGGCCGTATGCTCAACCTGCAGAAAATCGCACGAGACGGCAGAAGTCGTCACTAGACAAGCCTAGTGCGGTGGCCATGGTGGTTGGAGAGGCCATTTTTGATGCCGATGTGTACGTTGGAGGAGGCGGCGAAATCTTGCGATTGGGCTGAATGTCTTGTAGTCATCCAGTTTGGTAGCTGAGTGTAGCGACAGCATTCTGGCTTGACTTCAGAGCGTACCACTGTCCTCACGAATGGCGAATATTCTCGGGCAATGTTCGTCCGGGTACCGTTAGCACGATCGTGCTGTAATCGAAGGGCAGTACATTGTCGCGCAGGATGGCGGCCGGCCGGCCGGCACCGCCACCCTAACCTTGGCTGCAGAGATCTTCGCGAAGTATCTTCGTCTTAGCAGCTGTTCAGTACATTAACATATGTTGCAGGGTAGAGGGGCAGAGTTTTTGGATGACCGAACTTACATGTGGAAACGGCTAGCCAGCGCCGAGGCCCACCTCGAACGCGCTGCCCTCCTCCAGAATCTTGGAAAGATGTCAGCAAAAGCAGCGACTTCGAAAGAGAGAAAGAAAGCTTACTTCTCCACACCCCTTGCAAGGGTATGCCATATCGTTTTAATCTAGGATGGCTTTATACAGCGATACCAACTTCGCCGGCAAGTTTGGTGTCCTTGCGTCCACGAAGACCAGAGCCTAAGCCCGAAAACATGCACCGCATGGCCCACCTGTTTCGGGTCAGCTCAGGTCTCAAATGAATGCAAAGGAAGGCGAGGTGCGAGAACGCCATCAGTGCTCTCTTTGAATCAGCATTGAGGACCATCTCATCGCACACTCGAAAGTATTAGGGCGATGCAAGGCTCTCTGCGCTTGATCAAGGCAAAAGGAATGGACGCAATGCCGATACTCAGATCGAAAGCCACTCCAGAATCTCATCATGAGAGTGCATGGAGAGAAGATCAAAGGGTGACTTACCGCCAACATGGTTGGGTTGTGAGGCAGGATGTGCCCCAAGAAGAGCCCGAGGGACATGGGAATGATCGGAAAGCTTATGGAGTCAGCGGACACGCACAAGGCTTTTCGAAGTCGTTGACATGGGTTACGAAGGCGACAGAAAAGAGGTACCCGTCTCGGTTGCGTGAGCGGCGCACCGAAGAAACCTCCAGAAGAAGCCCGCCGCCGCTACGGGTTAGGCGGACAGCGCTGAGAGCGAAGACAAGCACCCGAAGATACTGCTACTTGAAACGGAAGAGCCATCGTAGAGAGCGTCTCCAGGAGGACGTAAAGACATGACTGAACAGAAAGGGTTTGGTTTTTGAAAAGAGGATAGTGGTGTCGAAGGAATGGAGGTGGCGGGCGGAGTCGAGCTTTTATCCTCAGCCCGCACCCTGCTGGCCGCCCTCCGCCATACAAATAGGCTGTGACTGCGGCTTCTTCTTCACCCTCGGCGTGCTCCGGTAGCGATGCAATACCACAGGACTGACCTATTGATACCTGGAAAGTTGGCGGAGGATGCCACGAGCGTTGCCGTTCTCGTCATGTCAATCTTGTCGAAATCGATGAATTGAGTGTTGAGGCATTGGCCGACGAGGAAGAGTAGTGCGAATAACTTGATGCAACGCCAGGGGCACGGGTCCCGAGTATTGTAAGGGCGCAGTGCGGAGGGGCAGCGGCGGTGAAGTCGTGGGCCTCACGAGCTGGGTGTATCACGGAGAATGCAGCAACGCCACAAGCGGCCATCGCAATGCATTGGGGCCAAGGTGGATGGCGCGATCGCTGTAATTCTTTTGACACTCCTCTCAGCCGAGATAAAGCTGAGATGGTGGATTTGTAGTATTGTGAGGGTTGAGGCCGTGAGGCCGTCACGGATTTGACAGGGGGCGCGCCTCAACACCATGAGCGAACAGTGAATGCCGGGAGCAGCTGCTCAGAGAAGCGTTCGGCGGCGCGGCATGGCAAAATACCACACCGTGGAAGTCATCACATGAGCCACAGGTGAGGATGTGTGAGACCCTGGCTACTTCTACAAACAAAGCCCGCCGTTCTGCGACTCTTTGTTGTGGACATCGAGCGTTGTGTGAATGACCTTCAGCTTGCCCCATCAACAAGAGGGGATGTGGAGAGTAGCTTCAAGGACGACCACATGGGATTGTGCAGATGCAAAGTACAATTAGCATAAACCCTGCGAAGTGTTACTCGGAACTTTGGAGCTCTCGAAGCTATCTGCGCAGGTGCTTAAGTCGCGGGAGCTACGCAACCAGATCGTTCCCGTCATGGATCGTGTTCACAGCTGTCTTGCACCCGCAAACCACCTCGACCTTCTCCGCGCCATACTCGAGCTCCACGTATATTTCACCTCCTCCTGCATTGACCTCGCCTGACCACAAGATAACCACCTTCAACTCGCTCACAATGGCGAACACCTCTGATGACTGCTACGGCGCTAACCTTCTCCCCACCTATAATGCCAGAAGCCGGCCCACCGGGACCAGAATGAGGCAGGTCTACGTCGAAGACGTTGAGGACAGGTGCGAGGCGCGCTACAACTTCGACTTTTGCGGCCACAACCAAGGCGCGCTCGCAAACAATCTGGAGTGGCACGACATCGAGCTTACGCCCATGTCTGGTGGGTTTAACACACAAGCCTGGAGCTCTTCGAGCTGACATCAACAGGTGCTGTCTTGCTCTGCTTACCCTTCGCACTATGGGCCGTTTGGGCTGCCTTACAGTGAATGGCGCAACGACCATATACAGTGCGGGACTTCACTACGGGGATTGCATCGAAGACCTCCACAATACACAATGTAGTAGGAGTTCAAGATCACAACGGTGTTCAGAAACCTCAGGACGCTTCTGGACTTGGATACACGTCGCTGGCGTTGAAATTGGATACTCACGATACAAGCACGGGACTGACAACGATACAATTCTTGCCTGTGGGCTTCGACCTATCCCAGAGGCGACTACATTGTGCATCTTCCCCGGCTGGAGCGATCCTAGCAATTACATCTAAGCAGTGAAAACCAGTCTGTGCGCTTGTTATCATGCGCACAATTCTAAGTCCCTTAGCGATTCTGCTCACTTCTGCCCGCCCATTCACCAAACTTGCATCCCAGTAGACTTTTTCCAAGCTCCTTAATACCGCTTCAGCAACGCACTCAAGCCGTCAGTACTCTCTCCCAATTCACCATATCCTCCGTAAACTTCCTGAACTCCTCCAGATGTGAGTGTTGCCAGCTCACCACGCCACTTGCAGATAATAGAGCACTCCACCCTCTACTATCCTCATATGTTGACATCCTGAAAACTACTGAAACTCTCTGTAGCTCTCTACAAAACCATAATGAAGCGCGCCAACAAAACTAAAGGGCGCCTCGTCCGCCGCACACCCGCCGAGCAAGAGCAGCAGCTCTTCGCTGCGCTCGCCGCCGGCCAGCAAGACCTGCAGCAACAACAGCAGCATCAGGAGCCAGCCCCGCTGTGGCACTACATTCCGAGTTTTCGTCCACCACCTCGCCGCGTCTGCGTCCTCGTGCAGCAAGATGAACCATCCGGCATCGCGGGCGGCCACGCCCAAGGCCCAGCACAGCGCTGGGAGCAGGTCCCTGTCGGCTTGCAGCTGATGAACGAGATCTGCGACGCGGTCAGCATCGGCAGTAACTTCGCGTTCTGGTGTAAGTCCAATGTCTGATCATCTCTGCAAGCGTGGAGCTGATGTCGTGGAGTGGGTCTGATCATCATTGTTGTCGGTCTCATTGGACTCATCATCTGGCACTCCGAGTACGCGACGTAACTCAGCGGCCTCTACGGTATGACTCAATAGCTGCAGACGAGGGGTGGAGGCGATGAAATGCCTCCGGGGGATAGGAGATTGATTGGGATATACCCGCTGCGCACTCGAAGCCAGCAAACACGGCGAAGAGAATTCAGTCACAAGGGGCAGGTCAGCTGGAGGCACTCGCAAGGAGCACAGTCATAATAGAAATGCTCGCTTGGCCCCTCACACGCATCGACATGGAGGCCAATTACACTGATGAAGCTGGCTCGCCCCTGCCGCAGCACGCTAAGCCACCGCCTGAGCAGGGTCGCTGGGACGAGCTTGGGGAGTATGTTGGGAGCAGCGAGGACGATTGCAACTCCCAGGACTGCCTCTTGGATCATCCGCAGCGCCTTGCGCGAGGGAGCCTGCAAGCGAACCCTCGAGGCCATCTGCGAGATGCGTCTCAAGAGCACCCTCAAGAACACCCTCAAGGCCACCACCAAGACCACCCCCAGCATATGCTCCAAGTGCGTTCCTTCCAGTGTGCCCGCCTAGAACGCTACGAGTTCGCGGAAGCAGAGCCCAGCATCTGAACCTACGACGACTCCTCCGTGCTGCTGTGGCACATTTCCGTGGGCGAGGCGCGCCATCGCCACTGGGACGATATTCAGTTTCTCCTCTTCATCATATTCATGGTTGTTGTGTGCTTGGTCGGTGCGGTGCTGGTTTGGATCATGGTCACTTGATGGCGCTGTGGGAGGGCTGCATGGGATGTGGAGGAGATGGGTCTTGGGTGTGGTGTTGGGTGTGGTGTTGGCCAATATCTAAGAGAAGAGAGGAGCAGTTACATGGTAGATTTAGAGAGTAGCTCCTCAGAGCAGAAGACATGTAGATGATAGCATGTTCTAACGCGCACCGCATGCGATCACCAGACCTCTCCATGCAATCCTTCTCCATGCAATCCTTCTCCATGCAATCCTTCTCCATGCAATCCTTCTCCATGCAATCCTTCTCCATGCAATCCCTCTCCACCTCCAACGACGCGACACAACGAACAACCATCAACCCCACCAGCGACACGATCCCGACTCTACCCAATATACATCGAAAACGTACAAATCCACGGCTTCCGAGTCTCGTCCTCGATTCTGCACCGCAAATCACCCTTTCAAAGCTCTACCATGCTGGCTCCAATCAAGAAGCGCGACACAAAGCACCATTCGCTGTACCCACGAGAGTGCCGATTGACAACCCTGCTCATTCTGCTGCGGGCTGTGCATCAAGACTCCTCCACGCTCGGGACGGTCGCTGTCTCGCGACTCGACTAGGGATTTTGGGTAGCGACGAGAGGGTATGCTGGCCATCTCATGCCCCGGAAACACACCCTGCAGACAGAGTGCGCATACCACGACCCAGTCTCGCTTAGAATCAGTGTTCGCTTGGTTAGCACGGGCTGTTGCTGAGAGCCAGGGAGGGTGTCACCTGTGTCGAAGTGTGGTAGCGGGGATATATACCATTGTGACTCGTTAGTGAGATGGAATAAATGGGAAAACGGGGTGTGAGGGCGTTGGAGCGTAATTGCTGGGCGCTCTGTCGGTCGGGCAGCACGTGGTGTGGATGTCGCGACTTGACACCTCCTCTGGCTCGACACCTCCTCTGGCTCGACACTCCTCTAGCTCGACATCACGCCTAGCTCACCGTGCAGTCGCCTACATGTCCCGGGGGGCTGAATGTACACATTGATATTCCTACTCTCTTTGCATATGACATGAATCGTACACATAATGCCCCGTCTACGCAGCCCAATCACAAACACCAGACACCAAACACCGCCCATGCAAGTTTTTATACAACACGACAATGCACCGCTCAACTGCACTGCACCGCTCAACTGCACTGCACCGGCTCGCCCGTTCCCAGCGCCAGCTTGGTCGTCGTCTTAATCATGCTGATGACCAGCACCGTGCACCCAAACGTCACAACGCCCATGGCCAGATACGTCTGCGCGGTCCTCTTCTTGGTCAACTTGATGAAGCACAACGGGGGCAGAATAAAGGCGAGTGCACACGCGCTCGTAGCGCCAAAGAGCTCAAACACAACGCCGAGGTCGCACGTCATAAGGCTCAGCGTCAGCGCCGCGACGACCAGCGACGTTGTGAAGATGAGGTGGCGGTTGGGCTGGTAGGGCTCGTCGGGGAAGTAGTACTCGTTCATGACCTCGCGGCAGACGAAGGCCTCGAGGGGCAGCGTGGTGAGCATGTTGAGGCCGAAGAAGAGGCGGGCGATGTTGACCATGAGGTTATCCTGGGGGAAGTTGTTGAGCACGTTGCCGAGCGTTTTGTCGCCGAAGGTCAGGTAGCCCGAGAGCGCCATTACGAGGCATGCGACGAGTGAGATGCTGGTGCTGTAGTGCGTGACGCGCGAGAAGCGGTCGATGGTGGGTTTGCGCAGCGAGCCGTAGATCAGGAGCGAGTTGTGGTGGCATACAAAGGCAAAGGAGATGACGCCGATGGCTTCGAAGATGCCGTCGTTGATGATGATGGAGCCGCGCAGCTGGCCTTTTGATTCGGCGGGGACGCGGAAGGATTGCGTGACGACGGTGACGATGATGACCATCATGCTGACAAGGGCGAAACCACTGGCTTTGGCAAGCTGTTGGGTGTTAGCTGTGTTGCTGCATTGGGCTGGTGGGGGTCGTTGCCTTTGCGATGTCGCGGTAGAGAGACAGTGGATACGAGATGCCCAGAATCAGCAAGATCATGACGGCGCGCCTGTTAGTGAGCAGCCAGAGGAAGGACATGTCTTCAAGAGCAGGAAACAGGTGGTCCATGACCTGGGGTATGGTGTCGCCAACAATCACGCAAAACGCCATCATGCCGCCAAAAGCACTGCGGGGGGTCAGTAAGACGACTGCCGTGCCATGGACGCTGAACGTACAAGAGCCACTGCGCCACAGAGATGGCAATGAGCCCTGTTTTCCCAAAGCAGTGCTGCACAGTTGCCTGGAACGAGTCGGTGCCGCTGAGCTTCGAGTTGATGACGATCAGGCGAATGGTCCAGTCCACGATGACGGTGAGTCCAATGAGCAGGACGGTCCCCGTGAGCAGGCCGGCGTTCCTGAAGGCGTAGGGTTGGCCGATGATGCCGGCGCCGCTGCTCGTGTCAGCACTCTTTCGTCCCCCGTATATGTATCCCCAGCTCTCTCACATGATGCTGTTCGCCATGTTCATGAACGAATTGCGCATTCCACTCCGCGGCTTCGCGCTCTCGAGGTAGTCTTCTGGGTCGATGCCGGCGGCGACGGTGACGCTGGGCGCCTCAATGCCGGTGAGCAGAGGCAGTCGCTGCACTCTCTCCCGCCCGTCGTCTCCGCGTGCGTCCATGTAGTCGTCGCCCTCCAGCTCTATCCAATCCGCGCCCTGCGCATTGCCGTTCATGCTCCGGCGCACGGGGTCCTCGTCAAAGTGCACTCGGTTGGGCGTCCGCGGCGTGCCATCGGGTCGAGCGTGCGCGAACGACGACTGGCGCTTGAAGCCGCTGCCGTTCGGTCGCTCGCCGAGGCGTGCCGGGGATGTCGAGGTCGCTCGCGACGAGACAGGGGACGGCGAGAGATGGCGCGGGCTCGCTTGGGGGCTGAAGGCAACGTCATCGTCGCTGTCGGAATTGTGCCCATGTAAGAGCTGTTGCGATTCGCTCATTTTAGCATGGTCGAAGCCTGGACACTGAGCACCAGAGGTATAATAATCTTGGTGTCAGCCCGGCCGTTGGAACCTGTGAATGCCACCCCTGTCCACTAGGCCGTATTGGGACTGGACAGACACGTCGCCTCCGGGTTGTGGGGTCAGGAATCGTCCCGTCCTAAAAGTGTTAATGCGAATAGAAGCAGTTAGTCGACGTAGTCAGTTAACGTAGTTAGCTAACGTGGTTGACATCAAGTTAGTTATTAGTTCGCTAAGTTTAGTTGATAGTTCTTCAGGTATAAAGCTGAACAAGGATTTCAACGTGGACATCACGCGTCAGTGTCACAAAGGTGCGTCATTAGCTCGCCATCACCGCGGCGTACTGAGTAGCGCAGTCTGGATAGTCTGACCAGGTGCTGTAGATAAATATGGATGCGTCCTTCATGTTCGTCCACACTCGTCAAACCATCAGAACCTAACTACCACCTGCCATCCCCCCACCCAGCCCTCAACACCAATACCCACTCGATCCAGCCCTCGTCACATCCAGAATCTTCCTAACCTCCTCCCGACTCCTCGGTCCCGCGCTTGTCCTCCCCGTAGCCCTCTGCTTATACCCGCCGTTACGCCAACTCCCCCGATCCAAGCGATACTCAAAGCGCACCTCAGCACCCCTGCGCCTCGGATCATCGAACCGATCCAGCCATCGATTCAGCTGCGGCTTCGTACTCGCTTTGGTCCGCGAATAAGTCAGCGTGACGACGATCTTCCTGCTCCTCATCTTCGCCTCGGAATCGGAGCTCGGCGTCGATGCAGCGGCGAGTTTGCGCATCTGTGCGTCTGAGAGCTGGTTGAGGAATGTGACTACGTGCGCGAAGTTGTGATTCCGCACCGTGGTGTGGATTGTGGGGGCGTGGAGTAAGACAGCGTCTAGGAATTCTTGTTTGATTTGGGTGTTGACTCTGATGAGACTGGATTTCGTGATCAAGTTGCCGTCCTGGAGCGTGACTGCGCGTTCTTCCACTGAGTGGAGGACGTGTTTGTAGATCTCATCGCGGAGTTCGCGAGGGAGAGAGAGGAAGCCGCTGGATGGGGTGGATGGGGTAGTCTCAATAGACGGGATGCTGATTTGCTCCCTAAAAGCAACACAGTTGCCGTCGGTACAACCGTCGTGGTTGATTCGTTTTCGTCCTGGCGATTCCTCAGGCCCTTGGGTTGGTGCTTTTCGTTTCCTCAGTTGCCGCGTTGTTGGAGCGGCCGTGCTTTCTGCTGGTCGTCGTGAAGACTTCAAGCCAGCATGTTCTATTACAGCATTGTGATAGTTCTGCTGTCGTCGTGTAGTGGGTGCCATTTCGTGATAACGTTTCTAAAGTCTGATTCTCTTATCCGAGAGGCGATTTTTTATACATCTGAGAGGTGGATCACACCAGGCTACGACAAGGCAACGACAGGCGTGCTAGCTTCTTTGGGCTAGTCTTGGGAGGCCCATGAAAGGATGCCTGCTTGGATCTGATCGATTCTTGATGTTCCGTGTCGGCTTTAAATGCTGGGAAATGTAATGTGTTTCATCGCGGCATAGCGTGTTTGAGGTGTGTTGTTCCGAGAATTTGTCCTCAGTAGGAACTAAGCGTCCTGAATGAACTCGGATTGGCGAAGATACAGTGTAAAGCACAATTGTGCAATAAGGAAGATGTAGAACAATTTGTAGCATTGTCTTGTCTTGACAGCATGCTCCTGCAGCTAGGGTAACAATAAATCCATCAACGACTCGCTATCATGACTCGTCATTCACATCAAAATATCATACAGACAGAAGAGTAGTTGGCATAAACCATCGACATGGATTCCATAAGTTGTGTTGCAAAAGTTTAGACGTGGTCGTGTCCTACGATCCGTCAGCGCTAGTTCAAGGAGTGTCATTTATATGTACTTACGACCAAGAGCTCTCCCCTTCTTGCCAAGTGCTTTGGCTTCGCTCTGCTTAATCTTCGCCAGCCTCGCCTCTTCCGCGGCCTCCTTCTCCAGTCTCCTCACGTGCTCACGGGCCTCTCGTACAGCGTTTTTCGCCCTGAAGAGCGCTGCATCGGCCTCGCGTTCAGCAGTCTCAGCTTGACGGAGTGACTGTGTGGCAGCGTGGATAGATGGGTCGCCGGAGCCGCGGTGCAGGACGGAGGAGTGGCGTTTTGTGGATGATGTGCTGGTGTGGTGCGAGGAGGTGGAGGAGCGGTGTATGTCTGGGCTGGAAGAACGGCGGCGGGAGAAAAGGCCGGTCTTGCGGGTGGGCGATGCTACGGGAGCAGGTGGAGGAGAAGGCTCGCGACGACCAAAGAGAGGCATGACTGCGTTGATTTGATGGTGGTGACAGGGGTTGCAGGTCAGGAAGTGATTCGCAGCAAGGATAACGTAGATGTGTGGACAAAAAGTGGACTGAATTAGAAAGCAAGACGGAAGAAACGGCACTGAAGCTCTTATACCTAAGCTCCCGTGTATACAACACCTACGTTCCTGTGCACGAAGTGAGCATGCCTCAGAAAGCAGGATCGCGACTGTGCGTGACGTCAGAAACGGCGATCTCACCCCCTTCCACCACGACACCGCGATAGTGAGATCATTGTGCCCTTGCTTCGTCTCGTACGATCCAAATACGCTGAGAGTGTGAAGTCGATGGAAAATAAGACTGGACAACTATTCATGAAGTTATTGTGCTAACGCGGGCTAGAGATCGTTGTGGGCCTTTAACTGCGGCTGGACCCTGGCGTACCAGACTCTGGAGGCGAGCTATTGTGCTTGTCCTCAAACCTAGATGATTAGATAGACCGTTCGCAAAATCCAGCCGGCTTAGATGTCGCCTGCTAAGGAAGGCGATTGACTTTCAAATCATTTCTTACGCTGGCGGTGCTGAGGTTCGAAAGGCAATTGCAACAGAGCAGGAAAGAAAGGGGCGATGACAGTAGCCAATGACGCGCCACATAGCATCACGACCGCCTTCGGCCCTTTTCTCCTAACGTGAAGCGACACGTCTTTGTGCCTTTTCTTTCTCATTGACTTGTCAACATTCTTTGAAATCTTGTATTGGTGCCATTCAGTTCAAGGAAACTCGTGGAACGATGACAGGAGCTGACAGGACGCTGCTGGAGCCGGTGTGCCTTGGTGTTCTTTGAGCAAGCTGGAATCTTGCTCCCTCAATCAATCTCTATGCCTCCGGGATACTAGAAGCTCTTTGGGAAACGTGCGTATTTTAGTATTCCCACAATGGTTCTGTGTACCTTCTGCAATGATTTGGCCAAGAATGGATGAGGACGATCTAAAACTAGTGTTCGAGTCGCACCATTGGAGCTGTGTCGGAGCAAAAGTCATCTTTCACTCCGCAAACTATTGAGTAAATACCGTGACAAGCTGCTAATTACTTGCGGCGAACAACAACCGATGCCCTTCTTGTATAGTCAAGCTGACAGGGTGTCGTCAAGCAGAGGGACAATATCTGACAAAATTTGAAGAAAGAGCCAGGAATGTAGTCGCTCGTTGCTTTAGTCGGCCAAGAGATTACTGCGAGAGCCTTCGACTCGAGGCCTACTTCGTCGGCGAAGGACCGAGACTTCAATTGGAATTTTACGTTGCTGGTTCAACAGGTGAATGTACGGCTTCATGCGACCGTCGACACACGTCTTGGAATGCTGAGAGGGGATTCTTGACTTTCGGATCTGTAAGCAAGATATGTCAGTCGCAAGCGTGCTTGCCATGAGACAATCACAAGGTTTCCAAAAGAGAAGGCGATATATATTGAGTAAGGTAGATGGCGGATTTTCATATGCCGCAGAAGAATTGAGCTGTGTTGGAACTGTCAGAGGAGCTGGCTGATTGATCCGCTCAACTCTGGCCGATACCGTATGGTTATACAACAGTATCCGGCCCGCTGTCATGAACAATAAAGTACAACAAGTATAATGCAGCATTCGACACCATGATGTATGCTCTTCATCTACTATGGAAAAGTGGGTAAACGATCGAGAGGGGTGAGAGGTCCGTGACTCCAAAAGTGAGACGTTGGAAGGTCGTCAATACTCGAAGTCGTCCAGCGACCCAATTCCAGCAGCAGCCAAAGCACACTCGACCGCTTCATGTCGGTCCCAGAAAAACTCGCGCATCCAAGAGGCTATCATGTCGAGAGCGGAAACAGCAGTCGAACTCGTCCAGATCTTCTCGTGTCGGTTCCAGGCCTTTGTCTGCCAGAGAGTCTCCGGATAGCGCTGCTGCAGAGCCGGAATCAGGCAGCGTGGCGCGGAAGCCCGTCGTCTCCAGAGTAGACCAGTCTGAATGAGATGCAAGATACCGGATGAGATGCTGAAAATAGCACGGAAACCAGGACTTGAGCATTGCGCAGCGAGGAAGGTAGTTGCTGCTGGTGGCAGTTCTTTTGTGGTGAAAGATCCGGGGATGATCAGGACATCGAACTGTGGTGCGTTCGCGAACGAGTTCTGCCAGCAAATCAGTCTTTGTGCTAGTTTGGGTTGATGGCTTGCGAAGAATGATAGGGATGTAGGGCATGTGTTGACCTTTGTCTCCTTTGCCAGAGTCTCTCCAATGGCCAAGGGTGGTCAGGTACGGGCTAATCTGGCAAGATCAGGAAGTGGTGCGTCTTGACAGAGGAGTTGGATTTGGGGTTGGTAACGACCGTGGTTGCAGTGTAGCAATCCGAAACTAGCTCACCGTCACTGGCATTCGAGCGCCAGAGGTGACTGGAAACGATCCTTCTCCGGTCACGCTGACATACCGGATGTCCACTTCATCAACAGCTTCCTCTAGCGTACTCGCTGACGCATTTAGCCTGCCGATTCTGCTTCTGCACAACGTTGACAGGAGATCAACCGCAGACAGATCGGTAAGTTGAATCTGGTCCCGGCCGAGAATAATGACACCGACTCGCAGAGAGGATTGTGATTTATGTACGTAGTTGATGCCAAGATCTTCAGCAGAAGTGGACGAGGTGCACATGTAAAAGAGGTCGGCGTCGCTCGGAAACGTGGTATAACCCCGTGGTGGAGACGGCATGAGGATCAACAGAGATGACAGACAGCGTGTGAGCAAAGAAAGGTTTTACGTGACTGGTCCCTATAGAGGGTGACGACGAAAGGGATATGCTTACCAGCTTGAGGTCAAGCTTTATATGAGATGCTAGGTGAGGGGACAACGTCCGCGTCCAATTGACCGAAGTCCAAAATGGTTGACAGCATCATTGCTAGCGTAGAGGTAGATGCTTACCCGGAAGTCCCACGCTATACGAGGGCTCGCATAGACAAAATGACCACTGCTTAGCATGGTGGAGGCTTGTTTGACGTGCTCCCGTCTTTTCGCGAGCCCAGGATTCCGGAGCGAACCCACCAGCCAACCCTGAAAGAGTCATCAGGGTCAAGATCTGCAACATCCGCATCAGCGAGCGGCTGAAGTATGTCCGAGTTCATGATTGTACTTCGTATAGAATGGTGAAGTTGATGTTGCGTTTCTTGACTGCCTGATGTGGCGTTAATGGCAAGGTGGTCAAAACGCCCCAGGCAGCACAATTCGCATCGGCCTGGTTGGAGCAGAGCAACAACACCGTTCGGGGACGCGGCACAAGCGGCGGGAGCTCCGAGCACAGGTAAGCACTTGCTGCTTAAAACAACCCCAATCTGATTAAATGGAGGCTGTGACGATAGTTTGCGCGGTCCCTGAGGGACAAGTCGGAGGTGTGGAGCTGAAGCCCACAGCTCACAGGGCAGGAACGGCCTCGACGCTTAAGGCACGCGAAATTCGACGGTCATCTGCCTCAGGAATTATATCAGCGGGAAATTGTTGTGACCAAGACTACAACAAATAGCCCTGCAAACGGAGTCAAATGACAGCAGCTGGCTTGTAGCGAGAATGCGCCGGAAGCCTGATAGGGAAGGCGCTCTGTCGCGAACGCCCGAAGTCGCGAAGCAGCACGTGGACATTTGCGGAAGCTGTAACCACCCGTTTTGGCGTCTGCAAGATTTCGCAATGCAGCTGTGTAGCTTATCTGTTTGCCTGACTTCTCTCTGCTGATGCAACATGCGCTGAAAGAGCAAGCCAATCAATTATCACGTTGTGCAGCATGTTCGCAGGCTGCGGGTATGGGTATCCTTTGATTCTTTGGTGCCAAACACCATTTCTATTCATTCAACACCATGCAGGTGAGAGGTATTGTAGCAGAGCCAAAGGCTCAGCTGTTACGAAAGGTGGTATCCATTGCTTGCTAAAATAACAATATGCCGTAAAGAAATCGCTCAGGCTGATCCGTAATCTTTAAACGTCCCTGGGAGAGCCATCGGCCTCACCAGACTTGACAGTCTTGCCGGTCTTCTTGATTTTCTCGAGAACGGTCTCGTAAGAAAGCGAGTCTTCGGCAACAATATCGGCGGTTTGGGTCTCGAGGGAAACGTTGTACGACTTGACGCCTACGAAGGGATTAGTTGCCACACTGAGCACCTAAACGCGGTGCAAAGCACTTACCATCGAGCTTCTTGAGCACGCGCTCGACAGCGCCGGAGCAGCCGCCACAGCTCATGGCGATGTTGAACTTGTAGTTGTGCTCGGACATGTTGGTGGTTGTGTGGTTTGTGGAGTGTGAGGTGTGAGTGTAGGTCTGGAGACTGTGTGTATGTAGGTAGAGGCGGTGCTGGTGGGATGTTCTTGAAGTGGAGATCGAGAAGGGTGCGGCAGGGTGGGTTATATAGGCGGACTAGACACACAGCTTGGACAAAGACAGATTGCGCGAGTTTCGCGATCGTGTTGCAATCCGCTACTCAGCGTAGATTACCATAAATTGCGGCGACTGTGCTGACATTCCCCTCCAAAGGCTGCACAGCTCGGCCTCCGATGAGACCAGATGCGCTTCAGCGCCATGCCTTGTTTCAGCACTGACTGCACTGTGGCGCTAAACTTGCTCATTGCAATGTCTTGGGTCAGGGCAAACAGTATCGACGGCAACCATACGATGAAGACACAGTGTTGTTCTGACTGACCTTCGTGCACGAAGACTGAGGTGTACATGTGAGCGCAACGTGTCTGGTGCGTGTTGATGCTCGCTGTCCAGCACAATGGCAGCACACCATGAAGGCGATGCGCAGACTGGGGATACGTGATCGACATATTGCATGCACGTCAGTAACTGACATTGCCATGTGTGACAACAGACTTGCACGGGTGTCGCTGCAACGAGCGTGTGCCTGGATCGACTGCTGCGTGCCTGCAGGCTGCCCCGCGCTTGGATGGACCCTGGCACCGCGGCGGGGCAACTTGAGGCTCGGCTTGAAACTGGCCGCGGTGACGTCTTTTCACTTTTGAGCTTGCAGACCAAACGCAGACCAAACATCAAATCAGCATACTGTGCCATGGCTTCGTGAGTGCAGTAAACGATCGAGTACTCACAACCTGAGCTAATCATGGACAGCAACATCCTCTTCCTTCCGTTCAGGAAATCACACTCCGTCAACCTCACCGAAGCCATCAAGCAGTACATCTCTTCCAAGTATGACCAACATCCGGATATGTTCAAGGCCGACCTTGAGACCATCGAGAAGCTACGATCGACTGCCGTACATGCGCAAGAACCACACCCAAGTAATATCCCCAAGCTACAACAGTACACAGCTCAGCTGGTATGGCTGAGTGGGAAGTTCCCTGTCGACATTGGCGTCGAGTTTCCCTGGTACCCAGCTCTAGGATACAACACAAGTCGCCCAGTATCGCGCAACAACCTCCGCTATGAGCTCGCAAACATCATGTTCAATCTCGCGGCCATGTACTCGCAGCTGGCTATGTCGTCGAATCGAAGCACACCAGATGGCCTGAAGGTCGCCGCCAACAACTTCTGCTTGGCTGCCGGCACGATATCACACCTAAGAAACACAGTCTTGCCTGAGCTTCGAACAGAACCTCCGGAGGACATGGACCTCATGACGCTGGATTGTCTGGAGAAGCTCATGCTTGCCCAAGGTCAGGAGTGCTTCTGGCAGAAGGCTGTCAAAGATGGCTTGAAGGATGCAACAATCGCCAAGCTCGCCGCAAGAGTGTCGGATCTGTACAACGAAGCATGTGAAGCAGGCATACAGTCTGACTCGGTCAGTAGTGAGTGGATACATCACATGACAGCCAAACACCACCACTTCGCCGCTGCTGCACAATACAGAGCAGCCTGTGATGCTCTGGAGAAGCGCAAGTACGGCGAAGAAGTCGCAAGGCTGAAGGATAGTCTCACGTGCGTGAACGAGGCCCTTAAAGAGCAGCGCTACATCAATAAGGTTGTGCTGGCTGATCTCAATGGGCTCAAGAGCAGGGTTACGGAAGACCTGAAGCGAGCGGAGAAGGACAACGACATGATATACCTGCTGCCCGTCCCACCGAAGGCTGAGCTCAAGATACTGGACAGAGCAAACATGGTCGTATCGAGGGTACCAAAGGAGATTGCTGAGTCAAATGCGCTATTGGGCGACAATGGCGAGCTGGGCCCTGCTCTGTTCTCCAAGCTCGTGCCTTACTCTGTGCATCTGGCAGCCAGCATATACGTGGATCGCCGCGACCGATTGGTCAATACCACTATTGTTGAAGAGCTTGAGAACCTGACCGCTCAGATTCACGAGATGCTCCGCAGCCTCAACCTACCCGGCTCTCTTCAAGCTCTCGAAAAGCCACTCGGTCTACCTCCAGGTCTGATGGCCCACGCAGAAGAGATTAGGCAGCAAGACGGCATTCACAGACTCGAACGCTCGATGGAGGATACCAAGAAGCTCATGTACAGCGACCTAGCTGTGTACAACGAGGGCGTAGAAATCCTCAAGTCTGAAGCGGCAGAGGATGAGAATGCGCGTCGAAGATATGGAACTGCGCTCTGGACTAGAGCGCCCGCCGAACAGGCTGCGCCGAAGCTGTACGCCCAGATCAAAGAGATTGATGGCTACTTCAAGGCTGCAACAAACAGCGACAATATCGTCAAGACGAAGTTGAGGGAGAATGAGCAATTTATCAGGCTACTCAGTGGATCTGACCATGACCTGGAGAATTACGTACCCAGCGGTCGCCGACCAGCTATAACAGGTGATGTCGAACGGGAAGCTGGCAAGTTGCGTGGATGCTTCAACGAAGTGAGCCGCCTCGAGAGCAGAAGGAGACGAAAGATCGAGGCTTTGCAGACTAAGGCGAAGCAGGATGACATAAGTAAGCGACCAAGCCTGTTCCTGTTGTAGCCTGCTGACAATATCAGATCCCGAATTGCTGCGCGAAGCCGCTCGCTTGGAGCGGGAGTACCCTATGCAGACCATTGAGGCTGTACAGTTCGAAGACTTGTTCGATCGGCGGCTGCAAATGTACGATGTCGATCAGGACATGGTACAAGAAGAGGTGCGAGAGCAAGCAGATGCAATCAAGCGATTGCAAGATGCCAACGCATCTTTCTTGATCGCACGACGAGGTGATCAGTCTACGAAGCAGCGCGAGCAGGCCTTGCAGAGCCTGGAGAACGCATACTTTAAGTACAAGGAGATTATCTCGAACTCTGACGTAGGTCGGAAGTTTTACAACGATCTGGCGAAGATTGTCAACCGTTTCCGCGACGATGCACGCAGCTTTGCCTATCAGCGAAAGTCCGAGGCATCGGCGATCGAGAGGTAGGCTCGAATCTACCTATAACACGAATCAACCTGTGCTGACACAGACTGGCAGCGATTTGGCTACTCGAATGAGTTCCCTCAACTTGCAGCAAGCAACATCCGAGTCGTTGCAGCAGCAAAAGAAAGCTGATGCACAGAACCCGCAATACGGTGCTGATGCGCACGGGGAGACACCTCTGACCGCACCAAAGCCCACCAGAGCGAGCGTGCCGCCAGGAGGCATGTGGACTCCAGAGGTAGGCATCAAATTTGGCACAGTCGGTGCTGTGCCTACATCATCTGGCAATGCACGACCTACGAATGGTCCTGCACAGGATGGGCGGTGGGATCCTACAAAGGGTTTGAAATTTGCTTGATTGATCCGTACAGTTGCATTGTAACTACAATGCGCTCGACAGAGCTTGCAAGCTTCAGTACCACCAGCGACGAGAAGTGCGACCCAATAAAAGACAACGCCACAGATGAGAGTGGTCAATGGAACCACATCATGATGCAATGCACTACAATGCGACCGCTGTTTGCGCTTTGGACATGGTCGTGGGTGTGGGAAAAGAGGCAGCAGAGGAGATTCTGCCTTGGTGGAGCAATCTGCCTCACAGGGCTGTGGCTGTGCCGGCTATAGACTTGCACTACCATTTTAAGTGGACCAACGACAAGCCCGCGTCTGCGGGTACACGTCGTTCGCCGGTCTGTGTGCCACAAGAACGAACCATCGTTCAGTCGTTCATGGGTCTAGCATGTTGGAAGGGTCTGGTGTGGCTAGGAGGTAGTCATGGAACCTCACTCGCAGCGGTTCTTCTCGCACGGCTCGGCAAAACTCGGTGATACATGGGGCTCACTGCTGCATCGAGTCGCTGAAACGACTGGCTACACAACTCTCAATTCGTATTACCGCCCGATTGCATCTTCACCAAAACTCTACCAGGCCATCTCTACACTTTCCCAGACTCATAGGGCTGAGGCTGAGCAGCTGCGTGGTCACGATTCCTTATTCCAAGACACTTAAGACGCAATTGCCCAGACAAGCAATTCGCTAGCCGATGGACCTCTGCGGCACTCACAAGTAATGACAATCACGCGACGACGCTGGACTACTCTTCCAGCTCTCGCTTGACTACCTTCTCAGGTACTTCAGCCCATTGCTGTCTCTGGCATGCAGTGCTGCCGATAACCGCGATCAACGTCACCGCAAACACCCCACACCGGCCTCGCGTGTCACGCCCCGTGCCGCATGCTCGTATCCAGGACGGTTTCAAGTTTTGTCTACTATTCTGAAACCAGGCACGCAGACTGCAGTCGAAGGTTCTGCTGCAGTGTAGGCGCCGGGAAGCTCTGCGGGGCTCGTCAGCCCTGAGAATAGCAGCCCCCTAGCCTGTTCGGGGATCAGCCTCTCTTGCTTGCACAGCCCACCTCACTGTTGTGCTCACCGCGAAGACTGCGAACACAGCCCCCTTCACTCTCCAGCATCAGCCAGTGCCAGCCAGGAACGCGTTGTTCGCGGCCTTCTGACCACTCAGCGCGACTGATTGCGCGCGAAACGTTGCCCGCGCCCCCCGCTCGTCGCTAGCAAGGCGATCTCACTGTAGGGGCCCAAGCGCGGCTGTCTACCTCACTCTGCACTCCAGAATAGCAACACGCGCGCGACCACAGTCATGGACGGCATGCAGCAGCGTGGGCGCTCGCCGTCTGCGGGCCAGCGCATCCATATAAGGCAAACACCCTCGCCGTCACCCCATGCGCCCTTCCACAGTAACGTGTCTGGCCTCGGCTTCGATCAATCGCAGCAGCTCAACCTCGACCCCTCCAGCTTCGCCGTCAGCAACGCTCAGCTCAGTAACGCCCAGTACCTTTCCACCCTGCAGCCGCAGCCCTTCTCGCAGCAGCAGGTCCTCTCCGACCAAAGCTTCATCCAGTCCAATCCAGCCCTGTCGCAGCACAACACGCCACATTTCGGGCCGCAAGGCAACAGCCTCACCCCCGATCCCCTCGACATCACCAATCCCGGCCCCGCCGACTTTAGCAACTTCTTCGCCGGCAACGACCTGAACCAGCCTCAGGCGATCAGTCCCTTGCAGTACGGCAACTCGCTAGATCCCCACCTGCTCGAGAGCCAGCCGTCGCAGCAGCAGAACCTTGGGATCAATCCCAACGACTTGATGGCCCAGATGGCTACCTCACAACCCCACGCGCCCACACCACCCCACCTGCTGCCAAACAACATGAACAACCAGCGCAGCCCTAGCCCGCATGCATCGCCGCACCAGAACCAGGGCGCATTCTCTCCCCCCAGCCACTCTCGACATGCTTCGCTGGGCCAGTCGACCCTCGATCCCAGCGCAGCATATGGTCAGGGTACCGAGTGGGCGAACATGGCGAACTTTAGAGGACACAGGCGGACACCCAGCGAGTCTGCGTACTCGGACATCTCCTCAGCACATGCCTCGCCATTCCTGGTCACACACGATAGCTTCGAGGACAATCAGCCATCGCCGCACCTGGGCGCTCAGAATGACCCTCAGCTTTTCCAGAACCCCATCTCGAACTTTGAGCAGTTTAACTTGAGCGATGGCTCACATATCAGCCCAGGGCACAGCCCTGCTATGTCCCCGCGCTTAGTTCCACAGCAGCAGTCGCTCCCGCAGTTCATGCCGGGGAGCTTTGGCATTGAATCGAACATGAACAACCCATTTGCACAGCAGCAGGGGATGGGCACCTACCCGCAGGGCACAGAGGCATTTCCATTGCTTAACAATGACTTTGGTCAAGCTGACATCATGTCTCCTCCCGAGATCAACATTGACTTTGCCCCGCCATCACGGCAAGCAAGCTTCGAGCCACCCAAGCCAGGGTCTACTGCTGATGCTTTGACCGATACTCTGAGCCCGCCAGATCGATGTAAGTAATAAACTGGACAGCATCGACGCATGCACTAATTCTACCCAGCAAGAAGTCGTAACAGGACTCGCGCCAAGTCTGATCCGTTCAGCAGCGTAAGCTCGCGTGCCTCCACACCTGGACTCGATGGGAATCGATCCTTGTCTCCCAATGCTGCAAAGTCGCGCTCACCCTCACCGTCCGGCAAGTCTTCTCGACGCTCCTCCACCTCAAGTGTACCCAATCGCGACTACATTCTCGACCTTGCCGACCCCTCGAGACCATCCATTCCTGGCGAAGGCGGAGGTCCCAAGCGTACGCAGAAGCACCCAGCGACTTTCCAGTGTAGTTTGTGCCCTAAGCGATTCACACGTGCCTACAACCTGCGCTCGCATCTGCGCACTCACACTGACGAGCGTCCGTTCGTGTGCAGTGTCTGCGGCAAAGCATTTGCTCGCCAGCACGACAGGAAACGACATGAGGGCCTTCATTCCGGTGAGAAGAAGTTTGTTTGCCGCGGTAATCTCAAAGACAATGGCCACTGGGGTTGCGGCAGGCGATTTGCTCGTGCAGACGCTCTGGGTCGTCACTTTAGGTCCGAGGCTGGCCGCGTGTGCATTCGACCCTTGCTCGAGGAAGAGGCACAAGAAAAGGGCAGTTGGGACAGTCAGCAACAGCAGATGACTAATGGCAACGGCATATTCAACCCCGTTCCGCAGAACTTTGGCGGCATGATGCAGACACAGCCTGGCTATGAGAACTTCCCTCAGATGACACAGGCACCGCAGCCGTTCCTGCCTGCCGCCCTACTCGCCCAATACCCAGCTCTTGCGACCATGGACTGGAACTCCATGCCGCTCAACGGACCAGACGAAGCTGACGAGATCAGCGGTCGCAGTAGCTTCGACGCTAGCAGCGGAGGAGAGTACTACGAAGACGAGAGCGACAACTACCAGCAAGGCCAACAACCCGTCTTTGCAGGTGGCAACAGCGGTTGGGTGAGCGACAGCTACGACGGACGGGGCTAGGTGCTGCGCCCCTGAAAGAGCGTTACTCGGTCCTTGTGCGTTTCTTCTACCTTACGGCCTTGCGCATTTGATTCATGATTGCGGACTTTACCCTTGATACCTTCTTCTTCGTTCTGGATACCACTGTCATTGCAGATATGCATGTCACGTTTCGTGCATTGTTTTAGGGTTCGATATACCCCGGCTTTGGAGACAAGTTTCGGTGTGCGCGGACCGCATTGAGGTCTTTGTTTGTCTGGTGTTTGGGCTATAGATGATACCACAGCAAAGAGAATCAAAACGAATGACTGAAACTCTGTCCTGCGCTCTCTGCTGACTGCAGGTATGTTTGGCCAAACTTCCAGCGATCTGTCAGCCTTGATCAATAACAGCAGCAGTGACTCGAGCTCCGGAGAGAACGAGCAAGCCACTTCACATCTAGACCAAAGATGATCAGCTGGGCAAAAATAATTGTGATAGCGCGCGCCGTTCGTACCTATTTAAGGGAAGCGCACAGACTGGTACCATACGGGCTTTTGTCCGGTCCTACTCCAACGCGTCGGCTCTTGACCTCAAGAACCAGGGGCTGATCATCATCGACTCTAAAGTCATGGCGTCTTGACGCAAAATATTGGAAGAACAGGGGATCTAATAGGAATTGCCATTGGAGACTGGAAGACCAGAAACCTAGACACAATGCACCGATGCCCTCTCTCTCTCACAACCCCGCCTGCCAACACCGTGCGGGGACGCTTCTCCATACTAGGCGGCATACTTACACTAATCATACTGGTATACATCTTCACGCCTCGCTCAATACTCCAAAATCACGTCACAGGCAACTACCCCTATGTGCGACCGCCAACTCCCCAGGTCTACACACCCATGCCGGCGCCCCCTTCCGCGACCCCCGCACCAGAGAAGCTGATCGTCAAAGTGCAGCTAGAGGGCGAAGACCTAAACTGGCTGCTCAAACTCCTCCCGCAGTGGAGGAACCAGGTCATAACCATTGACAAATCCTTCGTCTACTTGCACGCTTCTGGACAGAGAGCGGACAAGGGAAGGATCGCAGACGCGTATCTCGGCTGGCTGATCACGAACTACAACAACCTGGCCGAGACCATCGTTTTCGTTCCTACAAACCCGTCCAAGGATACACAAGATATCAGCAAATGGCGCTTGCCGCACAAGGAACTCGTCCAGGCCATCCAGGACCTGCAAGTCCCGCACATCCATAAGTCGGGCTATGCTCCCCTCCACTGCCCCGCGAAACATGAGTGCGAGGATACAATCCTCCCGTTCAGAAGCCCGCCGGACGATTACAGGACGCTCGAGGTCAAAATGGCAAAGACGTGGCAGCAGATGTTCAACAACACCGACATCCCCAAGGAGTTGGCGAGTCCGAGGGGCAGCGCTTTTGTGGTCACTAGGGAGCTGGTTCAAAAGCGGAGCGTCGAGGAGTATACGAGGTATTGGGGGTGGCTTAACAAAACGAAGATGGACGATGAGAGTGCGGGCGCAGTCGTGGAGAGGCTGTGGCACGTCATCTTTGGGAGGGAGGGGGTGTGGTGTCCTGAAGAGGAGGAGTGTCAGTGTGAGGTCTTCGGGAGGTGTTGAGATGGATGTGGCTCGGGCTTTCTCTGTGTATGATAGGTTTGTATGTGCCATCGCCTTAACCGACATATCGCTTTCTTTCCTCCAAAACAACAGCATTGCCGTCTTACCTGAATTGAACCCGAGCACCGCCATTCCCATACCTGCTCACTGCCTGCGCAACGGCTCCAATACACCGCCCCACCACAAAACCCTCACAGCGCACACCCAGCGGCGGCGAGCGCATCTGCACTTCAAACTCCGGGCCCCCCACGAACCCCTTGGCAGCACATCCTCCCCACCCGGCCCATAAAGCACGCCAAAACCAGAACCGGGACTCACCGGCCCGGCATCTCCTCTGTGTCCATCCGTCAGCTTCCCATCGACCCCAGCACATCACTTAAAACCAGCCCCGTAGATAACCCTCCCGTACTCGCACGCCGTCATCACGAACCCCACACCTAGCATAGCGCCACCCAGGGTCGCAACGAAACAATCCACCGCCCACCATCGTACATGAACCTCGCTGCGCCAAAGGCTAACGCGGAAATCACCATGTCGAGGAGGCCGGCGAGCTGGATTGCGGCGACGGCGGCGTGCATAGGGCTGTTAGGAAGGGGTGGGTGTGTGATGGCATGTGGGTTGGTAGTGGGATTTAGCTTGGGGGAATCCGGTGGTGCGTTCTTCTCTGACGGGTGGGTGTGGGGCCTTGTAGTTGGGGTCTTATACGGCGCTGCGCAAAGGGTGCGGGACAAAGGAGCGGCTTTGGGGAGGAGTGCAGTGACGTTGTGTGGATCAATGCGAGGATCGGCGTAATGGCATTGTGCGCGGAATGAAGGTGTGGTAATTATATCTAGCTGTCATTTGTGAGTTGTCAGATCTTTCGTCTGGCGCGGAGATTGTTGAACCGCCTTTGCTAGTACACTCTCTACCTCTCCCCAATCCCCAGTCCACTGGCGCCCGATGCACTCGTCGTCCTTGCCGGCGGCGGACTCACCGCACTCGGCCTCCGACTCCGCTCCCCGCCCTCGGCCGCCTCGCGCTCGAGGAAATCCTGCCACAGCTCCGCCAGGCTCTCCTTGTTGCTCGAGCTGCTAGCCATCAGCATGGGATCGGACATGGAGGCGAGGCTGGGCGTGCTGGGCGTTCTGCGGAACGGGCTGACGGGGATGCCGAGGCGGGAACTTGTCCCGGGGCGTGCGAGGCCGGCCTGTTCTTTTTGCTCTGGTGGGGTTAGTATTTGGAGTATGGAAGTTTTCTGTTTTTTTGGTAGGGTGCGTGAGGGATGGCGACATACCGTCTGTCCAGCCCAGCAGCATGGAGATGAGCTGCAGGGCCTCGAATTTCTTCGGATCGCTACGGTCGAGCGCAAGGAAGTGCAGGAAGTAATTTGTGATGATCTGGCGGTCGACGTTATCCTCGGGCCGGCCCTTTTTCAGTATGCGCAGTGCTTTGGTGAGGTGCTCGTTCAGCGTCACTGCTTCGTGACGCAGCTTGCCGATCAGCAGGTTCTTCTCTTTGACTTCCTTCTCGAAGGGGAGCGCGCGCGCGAGTTCCTTCTGCGCCGTGGCGGCGGATTGGGAGGCTGCTTTTGAGGCGTCTTCTGCGGCAGCGACTTGCTTTCGTAAGTCGGAGATTTGGGATTCGTAGGTTTCGACGGATTTTTTGAGCTCTGATCGGCGCACTATCCCCTGTTAATGTGTGTTTCTTTGACTGTGCGTGCCACTCACGGTTCTGTACTTCTTGGAGTGCTTTCTGCAGTCCCTCGACAGCCTGGTTGTTTTGGTCTCGGTCTCTTGCAGCGCGCTCGTACTCGTCTTTGAGACCCTCGAGCTGTTCTTTCAACTCTGCCTCCTTCTCGGACAAGCTCTCGCGCAAGGAGCGCTCGTTCATGGCCAGGACCTCCCAATCTTGCATAGCTTGTTTCGCGTTTTCAAACTCTTCTCGCGCGTATGCTTCGCGGGAGATGAGCTCGTCGCGTTCCTTCACCCAATTCTGCTGAGACAGATTCGATCTGCTCCGCAAGCTGCTGATCTCGGACGCTTGCGTTTCGTTCTCCTGCCGCAATTTCGCCAGTTCCTCGCTGAGACTACTGTTTTTCTCCTGCAATTCTGTGTTTTGATCTTGTAGATCCGCGACCTGTGACTCGTACTCTTCGATTTTGGCCTGCTACCTGTCAGCCGGCTTATTGCACCATGCATGCAGGACATGATACGTACCGCATCAGCCTTCATGCGATTGCCCAAACTCGTCTTGATGGTGTTCACCCGCCCCAGGAGGTTGTTGTACTGTGTCTCAAAGTGCTCCTTGCCCTCGTTCGCCTCCTCGAGCTCTTCTCGCAGCGCCTGCACCTCGTCTTCGTGCTTGGATTGCGCGCCTTCTGTGGTCTCGCCCTCATGCTTGCTTTGTATGCTTTCCAGGCTCTTCCTCAACTCAGTGACCTCCTGACGCAGTGCATCTCGCTCCTTTGCTATTGCATCCAGTCGCGCTGTGGTCTCGGAATCTGACGGCGGCGACGGGGACATGTGCGGCGAGCGCGAGCGCGAAAACCCCAGGGCGACCGCCGAGGATATGCTGTGCTGGTGCGTGCCATTGGAGTGGGCTATTGTGGGGGAGAGCGGCTGCTCTTCGTCGTCGACATCGTCTGCGTCTCGGTCGACAGTCTGCGCGACGGCGGGCTTCTGCGTGCGCTGTCAGCGGTGCCTCTACTCTTGCGCATGGATTGCGTACAGCCTGCTCGTCTTGCTCGTCATCGTGTTCGGCCCCGGCCGGGTCGTGGTTGCCGTTGACTTGTACATCCTCGTCGACATTCTGTGCCTGACTGCCACCCTTCTTTTTGTTCTTCTTCTTTTTCGCCTTCGACGGAGACCCTACAAATGCCCCGTCAGCCTCCCGAGTCATAAAACACAGCACTCATTGCGTCTGGCGCAAGTCCGGAAGCACCCACCGCTCTGATTCACAGGGTCTGAAGTCGCCGGTGCAGACATTCTGTGGACTACAATGCGACTGAACGAACGAATACGCAAGGCCAGTTACAGCGCAGTCAAAGCATGGACGGCGGGCAAGGGAGCCTGCGTCGAATGGTGACTTGGCGCGTCGTGGCCCCAGGAACATGTGGTTTCGGCGACTGCAAGCACGTCACTAGCCACGCGAGGCACGAGCCACTTCTCCGTCGCCGACCCGAGGCGCATCTTCACAGCGCCGGGATACTTCTCGACGAGTGAGCTATTTCGAGGTTCTGATTCGGCGATTGAAGGCGTCGGCCTGCTTTGTGAGACTGGCGTCGGTCAATGGCTTGCGGTGAGCATTAGCATTAGTTCACGAAGTAGCATTCTCGTGCTCTGACCGTTGCTATTGGAGCCGCAGATTTGCGGCTAGGTCAAATTGATTTACTACATATATTGCATATTCGGACGACAATCCATCGATCACATCTCTTCCCAGCTAAAAGTTGGACATCTTCGATAGTATAGTGGTCAGTATTTCTGCTTGTCATTCTCCGGAACAACTCGCAGGAGGCCGGGGTTCGATTCCCCGTCGGAGAGATTAGATATTTTTGCCCCATTGTGATCACTCGCAACACAGTGCTGGTCATGTGGAGCATCTTTTTGGGCGGAAGAGGGTGATGAATGTTGAAGTGTGCAATGAGGTTCAGACTAGCTCCTTCTGATGTTGTGGCCCCGTGGGCTGTTGATTGAAGTTCAAATGCGCCAGTGGTATGCTCGCCGACTATGATACAGTATCATCCGTCCCGTCTTATACACTCTCTGGTCTATATTGTACACGACCCGTCTCGTGGTCCCCAGCAGGCTTGGTGATCAGTGAGCTGGGTGTTCAGTAAACTTGTGATCCCTCCAGTAAGCTTGTGATCCCTCCGCCCGAGCCAGACACGTGCCCTCGAATTCATTTATCCTGTTGGAGCGCATGCTCTGCGTCTCACCGTTTGGACTCCTTCTCCTTGACGTAGGATTTCTTGAACGTCCAGCCGGTGTGCTTGAGGATCTGCTCCTTCTGCTCCTCTCGAGGGTCCGCCTCCATCGACCGGTTCTTCTGGGCGTACTGGCGGGTTTCGCGGCGCAGCTGCTTGGACTGCTTCTCGGTGGGCCGCCTGATGGACCAGTTGAGCTGGCGGAAGATGTTGGTCTTGATGGCTGTGGGCGACGTCAGCGCTGTGGACATGTCAGGTTCCAGCGCGCAACGTACCGTCGACGCAGTAAGGGCACAGAATGTGGGCGCGCTTTGTCCGCCCGCACGCCGAGCACTTGTTCAGCGACGTGATGTCCTCGATGCCCTTGCCTGCCAGGAAGCGGGAGCGCTTCTTCATGTACGACGTCTTCTTCTTGGGCACGGCCTTGAGGATGCCGTCCCAGATGTCGCCCAGCGACGGGAACGACGGCAGCGACAGCGACGGTATGGCGAGCGCGGCAAACGGCGTGGCCTGGGCGAGGCGCTGCAGGAACGGCAGGAGCAGGACGGGGCGGACAGCGCGGACGGGGCCATTGAGGCCGCCCAGGGCCGGCATCAGCGTCTGCCACAGCGGCGGCAGCGGTCGAGCGAGCGCCATGGTGGTGGGGGGGTCGACGTGCGATTAATTGAGGTGCGGGCGCCGGTCACGCTCGACGGCGCGGTGCTGGTCATGGAGGATAAAATGCACCCCAGTCCAAGCGCCGGTCCGCCCTTACCACGCCCGTCGCTAGCGCGCTCGCCGTTCGCTTGCCCCTTTCCCTGCGCGTCGACTCGGCGAGAAAGTCGCCAGCGCAGCGTTCCTGACTGTTTCCCCTGCACTCTCGTCCTGTCGCTGCAGCCCGCTCTCCGCCTGCACTCCTCCGCTCGCTCTCTACTCCCTCACCAGCCACACACCGCCAACGAGGCCCACCGCACCCGCAATGGCTGCCGCACCTCTGCAGTCCATCTTCCCAGACAGCTACGTCGGCTTCGACAGCATCACCAAGCAGATCGAGAAGAAGTCGGTGAAGAGGGGGTTCCAGTTCAACGTCATCTGCGTCGGTGAGCATCACGAGACTCTCTACGTGCAGGCGCAGCCAGCTAACGCATCCCACCAGGCCAGACGGGCCTTGGAAAGTCGACGCTCATCAACACCATCTTCGCGTCCCACCTGATTGACAGCAAGGGCCGCCTGTTCCCTGACGAGGAGCCCCGCACCACCACAGCCATCCACCCCGTCTCGCACACGATCGAGGAGAACGGCGTGCGTCTGCGCCTCAACATTGTCGACACGCCCGGCTATGGCGACCTGATCAACAATGAGCGCTGCTGGGACCCCATTGTCAAGTACATCAAGGACCAGCACAGCGCCTACCTGCGCAAGGAGCTCACTGCCCAGCGTGAGCGCTACCTGCAGGACACGCGCATCCACTGCTGCCTGTTCTTCATCCAGCCCTCGGGCCACGCCCTGAAGCCCATTGACATTGTCGTCCTGAAGAAGCTTAGCGAGTTCGTCAACGTCGTGCCTGTCATTGCCAAGGCCGACAGCCTGACGCTCGACGAGCGTGCCGCCTTCAAGGAGAGGATAAAGGCCGAGTTCCAGTTCCACAACCTGCGCATGTACCCCTACGAGAACGAGGAGGACGACCAGGACGAGATTGCCCACAAGAACCAGATCAAGGTGGGTCCTGACACGGACACTGCACAGCAAATAGCACTGACACATGACAGGACCTCATCCCCTTTGCCGTCATTGGCTCCGAGAAGACAGTCGTTGTTAATGGCCAGAACGTCCGCGGTCGCCAGACCAAGTGGGGCGTTATCAACGGTACGTCCAGGGTCCATTTTGATGGAAGAGTCCGACGCTAACTTGCCCCAGTCGAGGACGAGAACCACTGCGAGTTTGTCTACCTCCGCAACTTCCTCACACGCACCCACCTCCAGGATCTCATCGAGACCACCGCCCAGATCCACTACGAGTCCTTCCGCGCCAAGCAGCTGCTTGCCCTCAAGGAGAGCTCCGCTGTTGGCGGCCACTCGTCCCGCCCCATTTCCCCGTCTGCCGACCGCGAGCTCAGCAGGAACAGCCAGCGCATGACAATGAACGGCTACTAGGAGTTGCCGAACCACAGCCGTGTTGACAGCCTTCCTGGAATGAAGGGCGGACCACCCCCACCTCGCATGGAGCGGCCCGCGCCCATCATCGATGTGTAGGGTGAGTGGGAGGCAGCCAAAGTGCGTGTCTAGGAGTTTTCGACATGTTTTGATACCAGTGCACGCTTAGCACCAAACCCGGGGGAGCAGCGAGGGCATATGTTCACCAGACTTCACTTTTACCGCCTTTCTCAATATCTTTTTTTAGTTTCGATGAGCTTCTTGGCCTTCTTGATCTCTTATGTCAGAGCACGGTGTAGTGGTGGCTCGGGCCTGGGTTTAACTGGTTACACCCTGGCTCCCTCGGGATAGTGTAGTGAAGAACGTAATACACCAACGCTTGCAACGTGTTGTGGTGCGTGGCAATTCTTTGTGGCAGCTCGTAATCGAAGGCTCCTGCCTCCTGACTATCGCTCTTTCCGAACGAGGATCAGAGCACACGCACGCGAGTCATGTCACAGCGTGTGCCAAATGCAGTCGCGATCATTTAGTTGTGACTGACACGAGCACGCGTCCGAGTACTGGCTCAACGTGCCTTTCAATAAACGACAGGTTGGCTGTTCGGACCTTCGGCGCCTTTAACGACCAGATCAGTGCAGTATAGTACTCATGGACCTGTATTATGTAGCGTGTCAAAAGGCTTGCTGTATCCTTTTGCAGTACATTCAGCGCTATGCCTAGCTGGCACTTCCTTTGAATAAGTGCGGCGCATGCTGACTGCTTTAGTTTACGATCCGTTGATACAACCGCAGAGTCCATACGATCTGAGTCACGTCACTTCAACATGTGACCTCAGCCCAGACCCCATCGAGCATTGTACGTCTGACTATAGTATGAGCTGGCTTTAAGCAAGTAGCTCCCGTCTTCCTACAGTCTTCGCACACATCCCAGTCTCCACCAGCACAGACATTGCAATGGTAATGACGTGCACTTGTTGGAATATGCGATGTGCAGACATCGCATTCAAGACGCGGTTGATCGTTGCTGACCGTAGGTGACGGTTTTACTCGTAGTTCCTTGTCAGTTTCTCCAGCGTATCCGTTGAGGAGTATTGAGACTGCGCCATGTCCTTTCTTTGCAGCTATCCAGGAAGGCTTTCGTCCAAACCTGTCTGCTGTTTGAGGGTCAATGTTGTGCAGGTTGATGAGTGTTTCCACAGTAGCGATGTTGCCACCAGCCGCAGCCCACCAGAGCAATGTCCGACCGTAGTGATCCTGGAGCCGTGAGATGCTATAGTTAGAGATAAGGAGTTCAAGTAGCTGTTTATGCCCTCCATACGCAGTTGCCTGCAGTGCGTTGCCATACTTTCCACTCTGCGCGCTGACGTCGGCGCCGTTGCTGAGCAGCAGTTCAACCACCTGCTCGTAGCCTTTAACTGAAGCTGCCTGGAGTGCGTTGCCATACTTTCCACCCTGCGCGTCGACGTCGGCGCCGTTGCTGAGGAGCAGTTCAACCACCTGCTTGTGGCCTTCAGCTGAAGCTGCCTGGAGTGCGTTGCCATACTTTCCACCCTGCGCGCTGACGTCGGCGCCGTTGCT